GGCGCCATTTTGAGAAATACTCTCCAACCAGAACGTCTTTGATATAGATGCGTTTCAGAATTCATAGGGATTATTTATTGTGGAAAATAGCAACAGTTTCTTTTTGAATGATATAATCTAATCTGTTAAGTTGCTAAACAGGAGGTTCATTGGTGTCTGCAATGTAGGAATTCCTGGTTAGAAGTGGTCCCTGGGTACCCATGCTTCTTGCACTAGGAGACTAAATGGATCGGATGGTCAGACCAGTGATTTGGTTGAATGTTTGATCATACAACACGGACATCGCTAATAATAATCATTGGTTTGTCTGGTCCAGACTCCAGACCCTATTATTTACAGACCGTGTATAGCGTGACTTTTGTGGCTATACATACTGCATACACTTTATATACTACCCATCTAAAGTTTAGACTCACTTAAATCACTCACTATATGTTATGCATATATGTGTGGTTACATCGAAGATGAATTTCTCCACTAACTTTGGGGAACCAACTGCAAACTTTATGCAGATGAATTGCACGAGGATCATACATTAAATTGCTAAAAAGCATGTGCAATATCGTACATATGAACAGCTGTGTTGAGGTGTAAAACTTTGTTAAAAATTCGCCAATTTTCACACAGTTTCACCAGTTTTTAAACCCATGATAATAATCTTTTCAACGTTACGAATTTGTTTTACAATACATCAGTTCATGTGTAAACAGTACCTTTAAACAGTATGGAAAATTTTGCACAATCTAGTTTAGAAGAGTTGACTTAAGTAAATGGCTACATTTACACTTGTGAGTCTAAACTTTTGATGGTGAGTATACAAACAGCCACTGACATTGTTGCCTCGGAAATCAAATTATATTGTCACAAAACTGAGTGAAAAGTGTAACAAAACCTTTATACTGATGCAGCAAGAAACCGTATGATTGTCTCCTTTAAAATTAGTCCGTAGTAAAACGTTTATTTAACGGCACCGTCATGTGACATAATTCGCTAAGTGAGGCACCGCGCCAACTGTACTCTGCTATAGTAAAGTAACACGCTCCTACCAAAAAATAGTGCCCGTTCTCCATCGGTGAAATAAGGAGAATGGTTGACCTTTTGTTCTGACATGGTACTACTTTCTGCGCGACTAAGTGGGTTACAGCTCTCCAGATTGTTTACTCGCTGGTGAAGAGTTCTCGTCGAATCATCTGACTGGGGAATGCATCTTGTTGCCATGGCTACCAGAAAAGGGATTTCACCTGAGCGGATGCTTAAAGCATGACTGATACAATATCTACGTGCATGTTAACCATCTGGCTAAGCTAGTGTGATGTGAAGACTCGACATGTTGCTGAACAGTTTGTGAATTAAGCATCAAGCAACAAACTGTAGTGGGTATACTCGCTTAGTACAGTACAACCAGAAATTATTGAGAATTTAAAGATTGTAATTTTTAAAAAATTTCACTCATTACTCACGTATTAAATGTGAATATTAGCAGAACATAACTCCAGATTCAAAGGCAAGCGAACAGTTAGTATTTTGTCAAGTCACCATGGGCAGCAATGCAGGCTTCAATGCGGCGGGGCATACTACTGATCAAAGAAGTTAGAAAGTCGTGGTCCATGCTGTCCCAATATCGGACCACCTCTTCTTTCATTTCAGCAATATTTGTCAGATTTTTCGTATTGACACTGTCCTTCATCAGTCCCCAAACATTTTCTATTGGATTTAGGCCAGGGCAATAGCTTGGACAATCTAATAATGTCTTATTTTGGGTCCGAAACCAGGTCTGTGAATGCTTTGAACGATGTTTTGGGTCGTTGTCCTGCTGGAAATCCAAACATTTCCATAGAACTCGTGAGCAGATGGAAGTAAATGTCCCTCGAGAATATCTGTGTACCGGTCACTGTTTATATTCCCTTCAAATACACAGAAGGGCGTTGCCCCTAACACAGATATGCCACCCCACACGTTAAATTTCGGACTGTACTTTGGGCGCTGATACAAAGATTTTTCAGTTTGTTTGGTCCAGAATTTCAGTGTATTAGGAAACACCCACACAGAACTTTCATCTGAGAAAATCACATTGTCCCAGTTAAAATTTCTATGCTGTCAGCACCAGTTCAACCGTTTTGTTCAGGTTTCATGATCGGTGATGGAATTCCTCGACTTTTCTGCCAACCCATGGTCAAGGTTGTTTATACTAGAAATCCAATTAAACATATTCCTAAAATTCTCAATAATTTCTGGTCATACTATATCTAACGTCTCAAAGTATGAGAATCACATAATATATCAACATGAAGTGACTTGCCAAGATGTACATATCACTGAAGGTTGAATGCTTAAACTGTGTTTATCTTCCATCTGTAATGGTAATCGTGTAAAAGTGATTTACATTAAAACATATCTGATCAATGACATGATAGTTTTGACTAGCGTTCATCCCGGCCCAATCAAACCCGATAACACACCCACACAATTAAAATCTAGATTTTTGCAATCATGTATTTGTTTTTATATGTTATCATTAACATATATTTCAAATTTGAACGAAATCGGTGAAGAAGTAAAGATTTTAGAAAATTCTACCGCACTTAGGGACCGTTCATAATTTATGGCTAGGGGGGGTGAGGATGATTTTAAGGGCGGGTCACCCATTTTGTTCTGGGGAGCTATGGGGGATCAGAAATTTTGTACACACGTACTAGGGGGGTCAGCAATTTTGAACATACAAATATGTTTAAAATTATGCTTAGAAATTATGGGAAGGGAAGGGGGGTCATTGATTTTGTACATGACATGCAGGGGGGTCACTTATTTGTGCATAAATTTTAGGGGGGGGTCATTCACATTGTACATGCTTCTCCATAAAATCATCACCACCACCCCCAGCCATAAATTATGAACGGTCCCTTATTACATAAAATGGAAGGTGAATGGAAAACCAGTGATTCGAACCCTTGTGCACCCACCAACCCCCAAGTCTGGATTGGCAGCATCTGGAATAGTCTAAATTCCAACATGTGTATTCCAAAAAAATTGTATTATGTTACAAGGGCTTCAAGAATCATACACAGACCGAATGGAGTAATGTCTGTTTGACATAACTTCATTTAATCTTACATTCATATATAGCATTCGTGTTCTTTTTTCATAAATGAAAGACCCAAATAGATCGTGGAACATGTAATGAGGTTATCGACATCTCCGACAATTGCATTCCATGTCCGGAATCTTAATTGTGTTATTGTGTTATTGCTCTTACGCCTTGTTCGAGTGCCAGGATCGGTAAGTAAACACTGGTTACAAGACAAATACCATTGTAAGACAATCGTCATCCAAAAGTAAATACTTTAACTTTAAAAGAAAACATTTGTTGAGAGGCATGTTATCGCGTTTCACTTGCCAAACATCACACATACATTATCCCCCGATGAAATCTCCCTCAAGGTTATCCACCCCTTCATACACCCTCCCCCTGCAACTCCCACTTCGCCTCCCCTCCAAACAAAGTGGCTCCCCTGTCTGAGTGGAGTAATGCTGCTCGATTTCGTTGTTAGTGTTGCCATGGCGACAGCGGAGAGCCTGAGCTCAGGGCCTAGATTTTCGAAACACTATTAGCGCTAAGATAGTCGTAAGTGCCATACATTAACATTAACTTACGACTATCTTAGCGCTAAGAGAGCTTCGAAAATCTAGGCCCTGGTTTACATGCCCATCATAAGTGATTACTATGTAATTACTCGTAGAGTTAAACATGTGAGGGGCGGTTGGGTAGGTCAGTGTTGAAAGCGTCATACCGAACTCCCCGGTTCGATCCCCTACTTCGGTGCAAGGTGTCAAGCCAATTTCTGGTGTGAACTGTAATAGTAATGTGTATAGTAATTGTACAGTAATACCACTGTGTTGGTTGTCTCTGTTGCAATGTTATTGTCAGTAATGTCATGATAATGTCATGGTAAGGTCTCTAATGTCATGGCATTGCAGTTAATGTCATGGATGCCCCTCTCTGATGCCATGATATGTTCTGTAATGTCATAGTAATGTTAAGGCATTGCCAGTGATGCCATAGCATTGTATCTAATGTCACGGATATGTCTACACGGCTATGGTATTGTATTTAATGTCATGCCTTTGTATGTAATGTCATAGTATTGTATGTAATGACATGGTATGTAATGTCACGGATGTGTCCGTAATGTCAAAAGTAACATCATAGTAATGTCATGGCATATTATGTTTTGTCATGGTAATGGATGTAATGTCATGTTACTGTATGTAATGTCATGGTATTGTATGTAATGTCATGGTATTGTATGTAATGTCATGGTACTGTATGTAATGTCATGGTACTGTATGTAATGTCATGGTACTGTATGTAGTGTCATGGTATTGTATGTAATGTCATGGTACTGTATGTAATGTCATGGTACTGTATGTAGTGTCACGGTACTGTATGTAATGTCATGGTATTGTATGTAATGTGATGGCAATGTCTGTAATTTCACGGTACTGTCTGTAATGTCATGGTATTGTATGTAATTTGATGGCACTGTCTGTAATTTCACGGTACTGTATGTAATGTCATGGTATTGTATGTAATGTGATTGCACTGTATGTAATGTCATGGTACTGTATGTAATGTCATGGTATTGTATGTAATGTGATTGCACTGTATGTAATGTCATGGTACTGTATGTAATGTCACGGTACTGTATGTAATGTCACAGTACTGTATGTAATGTCATGGTACTGTATGTAATGTCATGGTATTGTATGTAATGGGATGGTATTGTATGTAATGTGATTGCACTGTCTGTAATGTCATGGTATTGTATGTAATGTCATGGTACTGTATGTAATGTCATGGTACTGCATGTAATGTCATGGTACTGTCTGTAATGTCATGGTAATGTATGTAATGTCACAGTACTGTATGTAATGTCATGGTACTGTATGTAATGTCATGGTACTGTATGTAATGTCATGGTAATGTCTGTGTTGTGTTGCAGGTAACCCCCGGGAGCGTTGCTGCCAGCAGTCTAGGGTGTGGTGACGTCATTATGAAAATTGCTAACGTCAACGCCATGAACCTCTCCCACAACGAAGGCCAGGAGTTGATCCGAGGAGCAGGCAACCTGCTGCAGCTCACTATCAAGAAGTAAGTGCGCCATTCCGCATCACGCCAGATACATCGTGTACCGGGCTTTGTTTTCCCCTGTTTACATCTCATTATACATAACAGCGTCCTATATATCACCACGGCTCACGTTAAACATAGTGTAGGTTTACCTAAACACGAGCCCTGGAGATACAGGCGATGGCATAACAATAGAATCACTTGCCGCATAGGTTATATAAGGTATTTGGTAACCTTTCGCCCCTTTCCGTAAACTGCAAGAAGAATAACATGAGTTGGTCACGAATGGAAATTCCTCCATGTATACCCGGAGTATCTAGGTGTTTGTAAACCCTGATTTTTACCTGGACAGAACCAAAATTATCAATCTGTCTGAAAAAGTCCCTCGTTTCATGGCCTGAGTTTCTATGTGAGTGCAGACAGGTATTTGAATGATGGAACGTGTTTTGTTTGTGACTGAGCAAGTTGGATATATTCAAAAAGTGAGACGTCGTGTGACCTTGATGATGACAAGGTCATGGTCATTCTTCATGGTAATTCGGATGCAGGTGCGGCCAGTATCTCACGTTTATCATCGTTATGATAGATTATACAAGTAGTGAGATGTCGTGTGACCTTGATGATGACAAGGTCATGGTCATTCTTCATGGTAATTCGGATGCAAGTGCGGCCAGTATCTCACGTTTATCATCGTTATCATAGATTATACAAGTAGTTCTAGTTAATGGGGTTTGCGCTCCTTTAGAAATATTCCAGCTTCATTACGGCTTGGGATATTAGATGATCGTGAGATGTCGTGTGACCTTGATGATGACAAGGTCATGGTCATTCTTCATGGTAATTCGGATGCAAGTGCGGCCAGTATCCCACGTTATCATCGTTATCATAGATTATACAAGTAGTTCTAGTTAATGGGGTTTGCGCTCCTTTAGAAATATTCCAGCTTCATTACGGCTTGGGATATTAGAAATGGGTTTCACCAATATTACCCATGGGTGAACCATGTGGGAATCAAACCTAGTTCTTCGGCGTGATGAGCCAACGCGTTAACCTCTAGGCTACCCACCTGCCCCACACCAAATGGAAGAGATGCGTGTGTTTGTTATTTCTGTAGTTAAATATATGTATACGATGGCGTTAAATGATAAATATAGGAATAAATGTACTCCTTTAGACCTTAATTCGTCGAGAGTTCCATGTAACGGTTTGTTTTAAAGTCCAGTTTCAACACGTGTGATCGCGCTAATCTATTTTTGGCCAAAATGGTTATTTTTTCGTGTCTGTATCCCGGTATTTTTACAATTCAACCATATGCAGGGGAAGGAATACCATCACACCTGTAGGCCCCCTGCGCCCCGGCTCTCAGGGTAGAGGATCCTGGATCCTGGCAGGGAGCCCGTAGAAAGGTTACGACAACAGACGGCAACGCATCCCGTCCTCACCTACCCCCACACACTCCATTGTCCGTAACACACACGTATATCATTAGCTGGAGTCACTCTGACTCGTACAGGGAATGGAATGACTAAATGTGTATGCAGCTTGCATAACGTATTGTATTGTGTGAGTGAGTAAGGAGCTTAGTTTTACGCCGCTTTTAGCAATTTTCAAGCAATATCACTCGGGGGACACCAGAAATGGACTGACACGTTGTGCCCATGTGGGGAATCGAACACGCGTCTTCGGCGTGACGAGCGAACGCCTTAATCAATGGGCTAACCTACCGCCCCGTATTGTATTGAGCACTGACATGGCAGTCAAACTGCTCACTGGCAGTATACAGACCCCGTTTGTTTGTCTGTTTTGTTTGTTTGTTGTTTTACGCCGCACTCAGCACTATTCCAGCTATATGGCGGCGGTCTGTAAAGAATCGAGTCTGGACCAGACAGTCTAGTGATCAACATCATGAGCATCGATACGATCTAATCAGTTGAGATACGATGCCATGTGTCAACCAAGTCAGCGAGCCTGACCACCCGATCACGTAAGTCGCCTCTTACGACAAACGTGGGTTGGTGAAGATCAAATCTAACCCGGTAATATATACAGAACCCGAGTTGAAGTGGCCGTGTGTTAGTTTGGGGACCGTGGAGTAGCCTAGTGGTTGAATCGTAACGTTCGTCACAGACCAAGGTTCTATTCCCCATATGGATACAATGCGGCGGTTGTTTGTTTTAAAAGGCTGAAATGAGTATTTTTAATTTATATGCCAAAAAAAGTGTAAATTTTTTCATATTCAAAAAACAATTTAAAATAAAATTTTGCTGTTAACCAGGTATGTTAATTTTCAGGTCACAACAAATATCATCAAAAGTTACATGTTGTATTCACTCTTTACATATTTGTTTAAACCTTGATAGTATATTCCATAATACAAGCAACATGGAACAAAAACGCACCCACATCAACAAACGCGGGTTAGAGTTTAATAACTCTATATCAAAAATATTCCAAAGAAAATAAATCCACGAACATATTTCGTCCCTAGATGCCTTTTTGAGGACCTTTCTTCAACTAGAACCATATGTCAGCCATTCAGTCATTTGGTTGGCGTCACCCCAAAATTAGATGCAGGTTGGCTGCGAGCGCCGTGCAGGGATATTGTTGTCCCAGGGATATTGTTGTCCCAGGAATATTGTACGTGGGGACCTGTCGGGATTACAATCCTTAAGGGGTTGTGTGTTTAAGTTTCACAAAACGATGTTCTTAAGTGGGTTATGAATAAAGAAAGGTCTCATCAGGTTGCTCAATCTTATGATTATACCCAAGAAGAAGTTTCTGTACAAACTGGACCTGTGGGTATAGGTTGTGTGTTTAAGTTTCTGTACAAACTGAAGGGGTTTATAGGTTGTGTGTTTAAGTTTCTGACCTGTTGTATGTTCTGTAAGTGATGTTCTTAAGTGGGTTATAGGTTGTGTGTTTAAGTTTCTGTACAAAACTGGGATGTTCTTAAGTGGGTTATAGGCTGTGTGTTTAAGTTTCTGTACAAACTGGGATGTTCTTAAGTGGGTTATAGGCTGTGTGTTTAAGTTTCTGTACAAACTGGTATGTTCTTAAGTGGGTTATAGGTTGTGTGTTTAAGTTTCTGTACAAACTGGTATGTTTTTCCCTGCACTTGCACTCGATGCTGAATAACACATCTGCGGGTATGAACATTGAGCCCAATCCTACCCATCTGTGATTCAATGTGTATTAACGTTATTACGATGTGTTTAATTGGATTGCTATCAAATAGTATCCGACAATTCTCGCGTATCAACTCTTTGGCATTCAGAAAGTTTCAGGTATATTTTCGTTTTTATCATATGCATGATGCGGGATAAAATCGCATCGTGAATGTTCAATAACTCAATAAATTCTAAACTGTCGAGGAACAAACATAAACACATTTGGAAATGTAAGTATATATACAACTAATTAAAGTATGTTTGAGATGTTCTTATATGAACCATACCCCTCCATGAGGCTAAGGCACAATAATTACACCTAACATTTCCTTGGTCGAAAAGTACCATGTCAGCACTTTGCGATAGAATCTTGCTCATTCATGGACTGATGTAAAATATTAAATGTCACAGTTTATATCAAAAACGAACTTTCGATCACGCCCTAGAATGACCTATTTGGCTATTTCTCTGCACAACACCCGGCCTCTATGTAATGTTTCCCCTACAGCGATTATTCAGATACAATCTCCTGCACATGTACCTGACAAAACGACCCGTGAAATACAGTGTAAAGTAGGTTATTGTCCTGTTAAAGTGTGGCGAACCTCCACAAGTAGAACGCATGTGTGTAAACAAAATGTACGAGAATATACCGTATACCAGAAGAAAACTCTCCGGACACTGTGTCGTTAGTCATTGTTCTCACTCGTAAACAACATCGGCTACTTCGTTTATATTAAACACTTCTCGTGTAGATCTATAATGTCCATTTATATCAATACAACAGGCGCCGCGGGGCGCATCTATCTGTTTTATATATGAACATTTATATGAACATTTGTACATCCATCAATATCATCAGACTGACGCCATTAAGTAGATCTATGTTAATGATACAGGTGATATTTAGTACACCTATATGTTGACATACATTGTAAAGCATATCTATCAGTTTCATTGATCTATGAAGTGATTGAGTGCATCTATGTGATATTTGTTGCGTATAATCTGTCATATCATTTAAAATCCGCACCGTACGCGTAAAATCTGTTAATGTGTAAAATGGTGAACCTCGTTTGAGACATTGAGATGTTTCTTAGGTTTGAGGAGACACGAGCGAATGAGTGAGATTAGTTTTACGTCGCACTCAGCAATATTCCAGCTATATGGCGGCGGTCTGTAAATAATCGAGTCTGGACCAGACAATCCAGTGATCAACAGCATGAGCATCGGGGATACATCTACGCAACTGTGATACATATGTCAACCAAGTCAGCGAGCATGACCACCCGATCCCGTTAGTCGTGTGAAACGAGTAGCATGGTTTATTGAAGATCAATTCTAACCCGGATCTTCACGGGTCGGAGACACGAGTAACTGACGAATGAACCAATAGGTTGTCACTGTAAATTTGAGTTTTTATGGCCAGTGTAAGATCAGCTGATTAGTGTGACCTAAAGGTTGCCTTCGAGCGTTCATTGCAACCGCTGCTTTTCTCACATCGATTCTGTATCCTTTTCTACGTCTAGTTCAAACTGTTACATATGCCATTATGGGAATCCAATTGTCTTGCGTTTCGATAACGTGATACTGTATGTCCCCCAGTCGCTGAATATCGCTTGAAGGGTCCCTTTTAGAAGACGAGATGGTTTTTAACTTTCTTGTTTTTGTTGCAGAGTTAGTGAGGCTTCAGCTGCTCCCCCAGACTCCAACTACGCCTACCACGGAAGTCAGGCCAATGCTCAGCTCTACGACTACACACCAAAGACAAACACCTACAGCCAATCAAATCTCAACACGTCAGATCCCTATGGCAACAGAATCTCTGCTCAACAGGGCCGATCACCATCCTACCCAAGTGAACCTACAAGGAGTTACTATGACCAGGATGTACAAGGTCAGACCTACTCTAGCTCCAGCGCCTACCCGGATTACACTGCAGGCTATAGGAGCGCCCCCTACGAGTCACAGAGTAGTCAGGACACATACCAAGCTCAGTATAAACCTGCCTATGAAGTGGGCAGTTCAATGTCCCTCCCGAGGGACGTAGGACAGACATCGAGGGGGGTGTTGTCCAGTCAGTCTTCTAATGTGCAATCAGTGTATGGGAGACAGAACTCTGCGCCGAGACCATATAGTCCCAGTTCGTATGAGTATACCTCCAGAGACTCGCCTGCACAGTATTCGGATACATACTATTCCGGACAGCCGTTTAGTCCGTCGTCTGCTCAGACCAGTGCTCCAAGCTATGCGAGGTCTGTTGCTCCTTCGACTGTGTATGAAACCAATTCCTATGGAAATACGTCCTACGGCAGTTCCGAGCCGTCTTACAACCAGCACTACAATACGTTACCGGCGTCGTTTCAGAGTCAGAGCTACGGTGCTGAGGAACCTTCGTATCGGCAGGCTCAACCCCAGAGAGCCTACAGCAGAAGCCAGAGTCGAGAAGCTCAACCCTTCTCTCCCTACTCACAATCAAATGATCAGCCATCCTTTGAGTCGGCCTACAGGCCCAGCAGGGAGTTCCAGCCAGTGACAAGCTATGGCCAGACTGATGACACGCCTCAGTTTGAGTCAAGCTACCGCAGTCGCCCGGCCAGGGAGTCTCAGCCGACCTCGCCCTATACGAGGTCGGAGCCTCCACAATTTGTTTCTGGCTTTAACACGACTTTCTCCCCTTCTCAGTCACAAGAACCATCCATGGGGTATGGAACTTCCTACTCTCCCCCACAGTCCCGCCAGGACATGAGCTACGGCAGCTCCACCTACTCTCCGTCAGCGTCCAGACAGGAACCAGCGGATAGTTTCGGCTCTCCCAGAATTGCCTCAACTCCCAGGAGTCCGCCGGTATCGTCGTTCGATGGCTCTAATGTGTTTAATCCTGTTAGCCCTGCTAGAACACAATCAGACCCCTTTGCTTCTGTAAGTGCCGATTTGTCTGGTCTGTCAATGTCTTCCCCTGTGTCAGAGGCTCCCCCACCTCCACCTGTGGCTCCCCTCCGCCTCCCCCACCTCCACCGCCGCCACCACCACCACCCCCACCACCGCTACCTACTTCCGACTGGCCATCAAAGGCATCTGACTACAGTTCACAGGTAAGACTTTCCGTCTCTTTGCTTGCTCGTGTCTTATAGACTCCAGTGCCTGTACCAACCTGTGATGGCATCGTATGGTTGTAAGTAGACGCTGTGCTAGATATATAGGCATGGCACCTTATATTACCTCGTCTGTGTAGTCCCATTGATATTCTAAATATACTGCCAGATTGATATAGACTGCTTGTAGATATGACTGAATATGTTCCCGCTTATGCCTGAATTTGTATTAATTTAGATAGGTCCACCTAATTAATCACTAGCTATGGGCCAATAGTGAGACAATGGAGATATTATTTGTTTTCGCGAGTTAGGTTGAAACTTTGTTTCTTGTGATCATTGAAAACAGAAGGTATGACCCATTGTTCTTATGACAGATTGAGAGAGACCTTTACTTTTACGTCCTCACAAACTCATTCAAGATCTATACCAGATACGTGGCAAGAAGATACTGACATAATAACATACTCACCTGTAGTGTTTTCGGATAGATTCACTCACATCCCATTATCACACCCCTCCTTCAATAGTGGTATGATCCATACGTCAGCCGGCCATCAGACCCCGTCAATAGTGGAACGATCCCATACATATGTGAAAGGTGACCTCAACCTTTCAGCCAGGCCTCAATCCACAGAATCAGGGAGCCATTCAGAAACATTCATTTGAACCCGATTCACCCTAAAAATCAAACAAACTCTAATGAAATCAACCATTGGCCTCAACCGGAAGTGACGATAATCAAACTTCCGGTGCACCAGTTTCCATGGCTTCCATTGAGACTGTCGTTCGCCTTCCATACACAAACCACCCATTATAAGATGAACATCGTATGCGATGTTATTACGTGTATGATACGGGATGGAACCAACTAGCCCGGCAGCTGGCTTGAATGAATCACAGGCTCCCATGTCGTCATTCGGCACGAGTCGCTGATCGCATGCCAGGCTCGCGCTTTTGAGGAAGCGCTCTGCCCTTTCCAACCATAACAGAAAGAAACACATATCATTCCCTTCAGTGGCCGACGCCCAGCGTCCATGTACTGTATTCCGTTAAACACTGGATTCAGATCTTCAGTGGAATAAGCTAGGATGGTACGGTAAGGGGTGATGTTTCCCTAGATAGTTGATATTCCCTCATTGTCATGTCCCCAAAAAATAATAGTAAAATATCCCACGTTCCCTTTCGGTCATTGTTCAAATACCATACGGACAATGTCTTTTGGCATCTTTTCATGACTTCAAAAATGAAAAAGCTTTCTGAAGGTAATATTGATGACGAATATCGTAAACACCAAGATTCTTACCATGCTCCTTCTCAAAATCAGATGCTCATGGCTTCCAATCCAACTTCACCACATTAATACTCAGTTATTTGTTCTCAACATGATCGTGTTCGTTGGTTCCATCATAGCATTAAATGTACACGATTGCTATCACTTTGGACCTTCAGACAAATTAATAGACACGGTGTGATAAGTTGAAACAAGTTTAATTCAAACCCTCCCAATTCTCCCTCCGATCATTGCATTTTACAATCCATTTAAGTTCACGGTTTGAATAATTATAATTAACCAACTAATTGTGAACGCTAACTACCCTGAGGACGTTTTGCCATGTAGTGACGTCATACAAGATTTAAATCTCGCGAGACTCCACAACAGTGTTATTTCACTGATGTAGATTGCTGTCTCCATACTGCCTCTCACTGCAGGAGATCGGTGTTAAATAGCCAAGTTCCTGTTTTGACAGTATTACTCACGATGAACTACGAGACGGGCGTTTTACTTTCGGAAACCTTGATAAAACGATAGTCCTTTAAAAGGAAATATATACGAGCTCCTGTCATGGTATACGTGCATGAGTCATCACCGGTAGCTGATCCAAGGATTAAAGAAATTATCGTTTTATTACACAGCTGTCCAGTCTTTGATGATAAAACATGTATACAAAACACATACACATGATTGATAGCGTTGAAATCCTTTTCAGCCCATGTCATATTAACCTGGTCTACATGTTTACTGATATGGAAATAATTCCCATAACTGCCCTCCCCGCGGTCTAGCCACTGGCTGGCGTGGCAGGATACAACACGACCCGTGTAACACAGCTCTTGTGTACGTACCTCACAAGGGTTTTCTTCACACGCATTATTAAGACGTTTGTCAGCGACTTTCTAAACTCGACCCTTGAGCTCTGGGAAGCTCACACAACTTTCTGGACAGTGCTTATTCATTGTGTCGTTATCTTCCGTGCATACACATATTCAGCTTCTGTTTCAACGGTAAGGGATTTGGATTTTTACATGATAGCTAATCCGATATTTTTATAGCTTTTTTATTTCATGTTTATTATTATTTTATTTAAAGGTCTGTTTTGAACATGTATGTTACGTATGTATGTACATGATGGATTTTTGGGTTTATGTTAATGCTGATATTTTTCACATCTCCAAAACACATATTTTGTTAGTGAGATTCCTACTTATTATTTATAAATGTCTTATAACGAATCTTTCGTAACTTTTCTAAACTTTCTTAAATTTAGAGAACTTTAAACGTTTTGTAATCTGCCATAAACGTATAAATAAACTGATTCAGAAAAACCACGCCCCTGGTTTCAGCTTAAACGTAGCTTATGTGACATGTAATCAATAGCATGGCATTCTGGCATGGCATTCCAGCATCTGATATTTTTCTTCTCACGGGCTTTAATGTCACAAAGTATCTTCAATTAAGGAACTCATTTGAGCGTGTACACCTGTATACATTCATTGAGAAATGCTGTGGAAAGTGAGTTGGCCGTGAGCATGTTAATAATTGGAACATGGCGTATTGCTGGTGAGAGGCCGGTTCATTATGAGCGAGTATGTACCGCCCATGTTATTGTAGGACGTTGTAGGGATGTCCCGAACATCAGAGGATATACCTAAATACATCGTTGAAGGCTCAAAGGCGGAGCTGCGTTACTTGCTGACATGCAGTGTTGAAGTAGCACAGTGTATCCCTACTTGGCGCATGCCTACATGCCTACAAGCCTACATGCCTACATAGCTGTGAATGCACTTTTATTTGTAGGACGGCGTTTTTCGTGTTTATTGATTTGTCACATGATAATATTACCACTTATCATCTTTGGCTCAGGGGTCGGTGGGGTAGACCAGTGGTTAAAACGTTGGCTCGTAACGCCGAAGACCAGGTTCGATTCCCCACATGGGTACAATGTGGGAAGCCTATTTCTGGTGTCCCCGGCGTAATATTGCTGGAGTATTGCTAAAAGCGGCGTAAAACTAAACTCATTCACTCACTTTGGGTCAAGTTTGTGTTAACAATCCACGAAACGGTAGTATCGTTTAAAAACGAAGTTGTAATCAGTCATTAATGATGATGAAGACGATCGGAGATGATGACAGTCATGATGAAATAATACTAATGATGATAATTAGATTATCATACTCATCAGAAGAATAGAAGACACGAAAGCAGACTAATATAGTAAATGATAAAACGGTATGTACACGTGTAATTATGATAGGTTGCAATACACCCTTGAATATGCGAATATTCATAAATATGTTTGTACCTCCGGGTGATGTTCGCTACACACGTACATGCACCACCAATACCCCGTCACAACATATTACTCGGGGTGGTGGGGTAGCCTAGTGGTTACAGCGTTCGCTCGTCACGCCCAAGACCCGGGTTTGATTCCCGACATGGGTACAATGTGTGAAGCCCATTTCTGATATGGCTGGAATATTGCTAAAAGCGGCGTAAAACCCAACTCACTCACTCGCTCACATTTATATTTCTCTGCACTCAAGAAACGCCAGGAGCGAAATGTCCCTGGTGTACAAGTATCGCCAAACTATGGTTGTGTTAGCCTTTCGCGCATGTCTGTGTGTGACACATCCGAGAATTATTTGTTTGTTTTGTTGCCTCTGTCAACATTATATAGATGTTATTACCCCCAACGAAGTCATTGAATCACCGCGGGTCTTGCGTCGCTGTTGGTGTTTGGAAACACAAAGACGATGCAGTGATAGTTTCTTTAAAAACGTCCCGGTGGGATATGTCAATATGTTTTGGCCTTATGAGTAATAGACACCGAGATATCTGAAGCAATCTTGCCGAAATACCGCACATTGTGTAAAGACCAGCTATTGAGCACGGCTATATTTGAGCGTGTTGCGATCAGTGGAAACAGAGCTCTATCCATGTGTTTATTTATTATTAGAACATGATATTAAGGAGAAATAATGCTATTCAGATGTTAGGACTTAAAGGCGAGTTGATAATGCCGGGTTTCCTATACTCCATATCGCCACACCCAGTACTTCTCTTTCAGAGCCATTATATTGCAAGAGGCTTTGGATATTTATTTTGAAATCCACACACCGCGAAATTGATATTAAATAGATTGAGAGTCAATCCATAAAGTAATAATATAGCTGCCCCACTGATCCCGATCTTTGTCGTTTGTACTTTAATGAAAAGATGTCATGAAATGTGGTATTTCAAAATGGCCGCCAAATGTCGTCTGCTCAACAAAAGACATGGACAGTAAACGTGTGATTCTGACAGGTGACGTGAAACTCCCAACGCCTCATTCTCAACGTATTTGCACATATTTTCACTATTTGCACAACACCTGAATTATTGTTCCTGCATGAATGTCCTCAGTCTTGAATAGTCCTAATACTATCTGATGTTTACCCCTGCCTTTCACATCAAGCCGCCCTCTTACTTGCCACCCATGCTGTAGTATTTGCCTAAGTCTTGACATGTAGACCTGCTCGTTAGAATGATTTCGCATGTCCGTAAATAGTACCTTCATACCGATTTTGTTTAATTGTACTTTAACAATAAAGTAACGTCTCTTTTCATTTTCAAATAAAAGGCATGCTGGTTCATAGTCCTTTAAATCTCAAAAGAAACATCCCATGTTTAAGAAGAGTGTTATGACAATGAGTAACGATGGATGTATTGGTTTCTAAGTTACCCAGTCATGGCGTATTTCTTTCAGAATAACGATGACAGGAACAGTCAGTCTGGTGGAGGCCAGAAAATCCCTGATGGCGTGTTGAATGCTATGTCCAAACCTGGACAGGCTAAACCATTCTCGTATGGAATAGATTTGGACGAACTCAAGCTAAAGACTCAGTGAGTTATTAAGATGAACACTATGTACAGACTGCAGTATCATGGATAGAAATGTTTTTTAATCAGGATATATATCTTTACCATACTCGGGGCTGTGGGGTATCCTAGTGGTTAAAGCGTTCGCTCGTCACGCCGAAGACCCGAGTTCGATTCCCCACATGGGTACAATGTGTGAAGCCCATTTCTGGCGTCCCCTGCCGTCATATTGCTGGAATATTGCTAAAAGCGGCGTAAAACCATACTCACTCACACACTTTACCATCCTCGGTTATCTAGTGTATTTAATGTTTTTCCCGTTTCAATTTTGATAAATACCCTGGGTCCATTTTCTACCAAAGCTTCGTTCTGAGCATATTATAAAAGCAAGACGCTAAAACTAACGCCATAGACTTACATGCTGGTTAGCAGAAATAGGGCGTAGGGGTAGCCTAGTGGTTAAAGCGTTCGCTCGTCACGTCGAAGAACCAGGTTCGATTCCCCACATGGGTACAAAGTGTGAAGCCCATTTCTGGTGTCCCCAGCCGGGATATTGCTGGAATATTGCTAAAAGCGGCGTCAAACTAACCCCACTCACTCACTCACAGCAGAAGTACAATGCTGGTTGCGGCGTAAAACAACATACCCGCTTTGCTACGATTTATGTTTACCTCATTCAAAACCAGAGCAGACATATGGACAACATGCTCCCTGTGGCTTATAACAGAAATTGTTGCTTAAAGCACTCGTTTCCGGTATTGTAACAGTTTTCCAATTTGTGTCAAGGGGAAATCACAGACATTATGTGAAATGTCTAAGGGACTGGTGGTCTTGACACGTATCAGACAGTCGTTTATGAAACACTCCTCTTGAAATATGATGGTTCAAAGACAAAATGTTCAGTGTGACATAATAACTGCTGTATGCCGTTTGTTTGAATGAAAGGCGAGGCAGGCACCTGTCAAGTGCTTCCTTTGTTGCAGAGCGAGGAGCCATTAAATGAGGTTTAGATAACGCGCTTACAACAGCTGGAATGTGGACAAGCCTTATTTGATATGCTTTATTTCTAAAAATTACTGCACTTATGTTAAAGTTAGTTATAATTTAACCGCGCCCAAAACAATTTTGAAAAGTGGCCCCGTGTCCAATGTTAACATATCCGATTAAATGTTTTCATCGGGTTACTAAGTTGGTTTATATGAGGATTATATTGCTTCTATTTACAATATATTTATATATAGCATTAAACAAGTAGTTCGTGGCAGAGTCGGGAAGAAGGTTTTTCAGTCCCTAAACAGAGTTGCGTCCCTTGGGCATCCTAGAAACCTATGATCGTTGGTTCGAGTCCAGTATTCGCCCGAATTATGTTTCGTAGTTGGTCAGCACCATATTAGTGCTCTTGGATTTCATCTAAGTTGTAAACGCCTAACTATTGGGACGGTGGGGTAGATTATAGTGGTTAATGCGTTGGCTCGTCACGCCCAAAACCCAGGTTCGATTCCCCACATGGATACAATGTGTGAAGCCCATTTCTGGTGTCCCCCGCCGCGATATTGCTGGAATATTGCGAAAAGCGGCGTAAAAGTAAACTCACTCACTAATGTGCGAGTCTGGTCCAGATAAACAAGTGGTTGATATCACGAGCAGCGCCCAGCGCCGACTTCTTGCTCAATGTAGTCACCTATTTATAAAAACATAGATTACTTGGGACGTTTTTACTTGGTCTAGGGTCATGGGCAGCATATGAATTGTGATAATCTGGTTTATTGTTTTATAATCGTTTTTAGCTCCCGCCGCCACGATATTGCTGGAATATTGCTAAAAGTCTTAATCACTCACTCACTCACTCTAAAATTGCATTACTTCGGGTTTAAATCCCACGTCAAGCTGACACGATGTGATGTAACTGAAATACTGTCTACACTCTTCATCAAAACAGATTCGTTCAAACAAATCTTAACATTGTTTGACGAGTAGAAAGGGCCCATCTAATCGCTATAATTACTTATTGTTCAATATCGACGTATTTTCTTTAATGCTGGACAAATACCCGCGATTAAACACATAATTGTGTTTCATGGACGTGAATCCAAAGGACTGTAAACGTCCACAGGTCTCTAAGGTAATAGTTAATAGTTTGAATGATAATTTCCCTCAGTGTCCCTCAAACAGACTTAAAGACTGAACTGTCCGCTTATCTTGTCTTGCCTCTTTAAAGAGTAGAATTACTATGCATCCGTGCTCACAGCATTCAGTACAGCCTTGGAGCAAGGCTAAAATACTGCTAATCGCCGAGTAAATGGCGACTTGGATTGATTCTGTAATTCATCTTGTCCGTCAGCGTAATTTGTTTGAGGTATATCCACCCAGCAACGTCCTCTTTAAACAACAGGTGCGTTTGATTTATTTTTCGTTTAATGTATGTATATTTATTCGGTGATTTGACGCTGGAAATATTTGGTGCACATGAATCATTGAGGATGATTTCTATGACTAAGATAAAGCTCCAAACATCTAAGGTCAATCCTGTTTCCAGTAGGCATTGATCTCACTATCCTGACTACCATGTGACCATTCATCACGGAACATAAGCTCTAGGTTTTGGATGATGGACAGAACGTAGGCCAAATATCTTATGGGTATTTTATTATTGTATTGTGGATGTTTGTGTTTGATCTGCCCTGAAAGGCCTATTTGTCCAGCGTGAGTCAAAATTTATCGTCGCTTCGGTATTGTTTGAGCCATAAATATAGCTACGAGTTGTCCAGAAGATGAATTTGTGAGATACATGCTTAGAAACTTCCCTCTTACTCCCTCCAAGCGCAAGGTCTTGTATTTATTGAAAGATAACAGTACCTAAATGACGACGGTACAAGGTACATGTAGTTTGTACCTCAAGGAGTTTACCAGTCGCGGATAGAGTGCTATGACTTGGAGCGATTTGTTTTAATTCTGCAACCAGTTGGTTTACAGAATGTTTACACAAATATGATGGGGACCAACTGACCTCCATGTTTTTCCTGTAGACGCAGAGCTCCCCCAGTTGCTCCCAAAAAGAAGAAGCCAGTGGAGAGCAGTCAAGGTCAAGGTCAGAATCCCCAAATGGCGGCCCCTTCAGGCCCCGGAACGGCAGTGTTTTCTCACGCCCAATACAACTCCCCTTTGCACATGTACTCCAACGACAACGTGGCGGAGTCGTTCAAGGGGCAGTCTGGTGGGGTCATCACAGGAGTTGGCGGGTAAGTAGACATTCAGATAAGGATGTGGAAAGATGGTTTGGCTGTAGGGTCACTCTCTCTCAGCCCCTCATATGTGTCTTATATAAATTCGTTCCATGTGAAATGTATTACTGGTTAGACCAGTGGAGTTTGATCACGAATAAAGTCGTCTTTTATGTTTGTATATTGTCATTGTCATGAAGACACTATAAAAATGTTGCCGCTGGGATTCCGGGTTAGAACTGCCCTCCTACAACCTATACTGATCGCAAGAGGTGGTCATGACTCTGAAGGTATAAGCATGTATAAATTAAGTGAGAATCCGTTCCATTAAAGCACTCATAAAATCCCTCAACAACACAACGTCGTTATCAACTGTTAATTTTGTGAGTTTGGGTTGTTTTGTTTTTTTCTTCTTTTTGGGGGTTCTTTTTTGTTATTGCTTTGTTTTATTTAAATAATTTTTTAGTTGTATATATTTTCTTGAACCAGGACAATTATGAAGAATTTGTATTATAACCTTGTAGAATGAACGTCATGAAAATATTGATTGTTTGTATTTAGTATATAATGTCGAAATCTGAAGGGCGGTGGAGTCACAGTTTTCAATGCATTTGTTCAGGAGATATGTTGCTTAAATGTTGCTAAAACGACGTAAAACCAGAGTTATGTGGAGGTGCTCCGTGCGGTCCTGAACCTACAGGAACACGTTACTGTTATCTGAGATATGGATAGGGCTGCTGAACTCATCGCCTGTAGCTATGGGTGTCGAGTCTAACCCTCCCCTCCTTCCATCTAAAGAGAACTTGGTTATCGATCAGAGCAACATTTTCATGTATTTTTGGTTGCCTTGAAGTCATAAAGTAGTCAAGTTTATGCACATCTAAACGATCGTGCTGACATGGAGGAATTTGGTCAGTGGAACCACCCCTGCTTATCTGTACGTCCTAGTATCAATCTAGGACGTGGGGGCAGAGACGTAGGGGGAAGAAGGGGGGTGCTATCTCTGGGAGAAACAGATGCTTGCCAAAAACGTGGGATGGAAATAAAACTACATTCCTTTGAAATGATGGAATATGGAAAATACTCAATCTTTTAGTGAAACGTACTTAGACTTTCACAATTAACATTAGGAACCAACTCCATAAAACACCGACCTCATTTTATTTATACTAACCTGACCGGTGAATCTTGAGTGTAGATGTGCGTTTTTCTTTATTCCAAAGATAACTCGTGATGAAGGAATTAGAGGGATAAAATGGTATTCGTCAGTTTGGGACGACTTTGAGTAAGGCTAAACGTGTGACTGCGTAGGCATGTTGGAGATGTGCCAGAAGAGCGATGGTGTAGGATGGCGTCTGATATCAATCTCGCTGCTGAACCTGGTCTGACATTTGCTTGAGTATGTAGAGTACCTGTGGAAACAGATCGTCGGATACGACCCAATGTACATTTACTAGAAAACAGCATAGAAAACACCGTGTGCTTTTCCCCGAGAGCAGCATGTATGAACTAGAGTATCTTTACTATGGGACAGCATCTGTAGGTTTACGAGGAAACGTTACAGTCCATCTTCATCCAACGACCTATTAATGTGCGAGTAGGGGCAATGTAGCCTAGTGGTTAAAGCGTTCGCTCGTCTCGCCGAAGACCCAGGTTCGTTTCCCCACATGGGTACAATGTGTGAAGCTCATTTCTGGTGTCCCCCACTGTGAAATTGCTGGAATATTGCTAAAAGCGGCGTAAAACTAAAGTCACTCACTCACTAATGTGCAAGTCTGGCCCAGACAAACAAGTGGTTGATGTTATGAGCAACGCCGTTGGGGTACGATAAATCGCAATCAATCACGTCGTCGACCTCTTGCTCAATGTAGTCACCTATTTATAAAAATAAAACATAGACTTTAGGGACGTTTTTACGTGGTTTAGGATCATAGGCATAATATGAAGTGTGATAATCTGGTTTATTGTTTTATGATCGTTTTTAGCTGCCGCAATTCATGTGCAGGTGTATAAACATTTTTGAGCTTCAGGTAAATGTCAAGATAGGAACATGAAATGTATATGTACTTACATAACGATCACAGGGAAGATTTGTGTACAGGCCACTATTACCCTGACGTATACCAGATGTCTGTTGGCCAGTGATCAGTTGGGGCGCATTTCTAGTGGCATGGGATTCAACGTAACATTGTACCTCTATTTCGTGAAGGTTTGCTGATGAAATGTGAAACTTGTTTCCTCAAAACTAGTCTAAATGTTAAAAGGATTGTCAGACTTTTCATGGAAACAAAGGTCCGTGGATTATCTGTCTGACCAGGTCCAATGATGCCCCTTAAATTGTTTATTTAACAAGGAGGGTGTCTTAGGCATAAGTACCTTGGGGTTTCCATGTCAGAATAACATTCCCCTTATATGTACCTCCTACCTGTCGGAAGGACAGACCGACAGGAGTTACAATGTTTGAGATGATTATGTTTCATGGTACCGTGATGGCCATGATGAACCATAATGGTCGCAACTCGTGCCATCTATACCCTAAACCACAGTCTAGGCTATCATGATAAAACTTTAGATAAGACTGTCTGTGTCGAAAAAAGATATTGTTCGCGCTAAACTATTCATCCTTGTAATTGCATTTCGGGTAGTCAAAACGTTAAACGTTACAAATGGGTTTTTTGAGTACTTGAATGTAGATGGACATCTTTTTGTCGTAAGCTGTAGCATCCAAGAAGACATATGCATTTCAACTTCTATATTCTTACAAAGTATAGGTGCTAGGTTCTTATACCTTTATCAAGCATTTGGTCCTTGTTCCTCAGCAACTTCTGCCTAAAGGCGACTAACGCGATCGGGTGGTTAGGCTCGTTGACTTGGTTGACACGTCATCGTTTCCCTATTGCGTAGATCGATGTTCATGCTGTTGATCTCTGGATTGTCTGGTCCAGACTCGATTATTTACAGACCGCCGCCAAATAGTTGGAATATTGCCGAGTGCGGCGTTAAACAACCAAGCAACTAACCTTTCAGAAGAGATGGCCAAACTTCATATGCGACAACGGCATCAACTGTTATTCCCACATTTGTTGATTGTTCCTCCAGACTCCCCAACAAGCCAAAGAAGGAGTTCAGCGACTCCCCAACGTACCGGTTCCTCCAGGAGAACGAGGGCCGCAAGCAGCCTGAGCCAGTGCAGTATGAGGAGACTCCAGTCAGGTTCAACGTGGGTTCCAACCCGAACAAACAGTCCAAGTCCTTCAAGGTGCTGCAGTGGATGACTGATACAGAGAAGGATGAACAGGGGCCAGTAGAAGAAGGTGAGGACTGCGTTGATGTTGATGATGGAGTTGTTAATGTTCCGGCACGTTTTGGGGGCTTTTGGGATTCTGTTTTTTTACTGTGTGCAAGATGTATGCAAGAGTTGTTGATGTTCCAGCACGTTTTGGGGCCCTTTTGGGTTTCTTCTTTGTGCAAGATGTATGCAAGAGTTGTTGATGTTCCAGCTTGTTTTGGGGGCCTTTTGGGTTTCTTCTTTGTGCAAGATGTATGCAAGAGTTGTTGATGTTCCAGCACGTTTTGGGATTCTGTTTTTACTGTGTGCAAGATGTATGCAAGAGTTGTTGATGTTCCAGCTCGTGTTGGACCCTTTTGGGTTTCTTCTTTGTGCAAGATGTATGCAAGAGTTGTTGATGTTCCAGCTCGCTTTGGACCCTTTTGGGTTTCTTCTTTGTGCAAGATGTATGCAAGAGTTGTTGATGTTCCAGATCGCTTTGGGTCCATTTGGGTTTCTTGTGTGAGTCAGTTGTATGCAAGAGTTGTTGATGTTCCGGTACGTTTGGGGCCCTTTTGGGTTTCTTGTGTATGCAAGGTATATGCAAGAGTTACGATCTCCTCGGGGTAAATAAGTTCATTTTTAAAATGCATGTCTAAATCATAAGTTCATTGCCAGGGTGTTACTTTGAGTACGACTTTATGGATAACAACTTCTTCTTTTTTGCATAAATCGACGTTACATAGGCCCTCGGGATTAATTTAAATGGCCTTCGGAACATTTTCGGTTAAACGTTTGGGTAGATTTGTATTGTCTAATCATTACATTCACTGGTTTGATGTTTTTATATCTTCTTCTATCCTCTTTATCGTCACACACACGCGTGCGCACACACATTTCCTTAAATTCGGGGCGGTGGGGTAGCCTAGTGGTTAAAGCGTTGGCTCGTCACACCGAAGACCCGGTTTCGAATCCCCACATGGGTACATTGTGTGAAGCCCATTTCTGGTGTCCCCCACCGTGATGTTGCTGGAATATTGCTAAAAGCGGCGTAAAATCAAACTCAGTCAGTCAGTCCTTAAATTCGACAGTATGAGGGTTGTCTTGAGAGTTCGAGTTCAGCATTGTGGTATCGGAGTGAGTGAGTGAATAATGTTCATAGCAGGAATGACAATATCTCAGCAGTTGAGAGCCGGCAGATGCGTCATGCGCAGCTGGTTAAATAGACAAGGGTGATGGCAGATGAGACTGGCCATTCAGTGGAAACACTTTTGATGAAATATGATCGTAATCATCAGAGTGCCATTTAGTGTAGTATCCATGGTAACGGCTCGTGTTGTATTAGCATGTGCTACGGTTCTACTCTTGCCAATCACAGGAAACAGGTGGTGAGATATGATTATGGCTTAGATTTAATTATTGGAATCATTTCTCTCCTGAAATTGAGAATTTGGCCCTGTGTCATTCAGATAAGGTGGTGTAGGTCAGATCTCAGATATGCCGAAAAGTATGTCCAACGTTAGATTTGGGATCATTAGTTAGAAGTGTTCCAGTAATACCGTAGAGGTTATATCCTAGTAAAACTGTTGTAATATAATACTCGTTGTAAAAGCTCACATAGAGACAAACAAAGTTTGGCTGTCTTGGTGTGGTTCAAGCATGGTGTTATGTTTTACTAACTGTTATATTCAAATTACCATATTCACGTATATATCCCCATGCCTGAAATGTTCATATCGTCTTAACTTGGAGCCGTCCTGCTTGAACTTATTCTTACCTTTCGGCTAACTCCCCACAGACAAGCCTAGACGACAGAGGAACCCGTTGTTGCGCCACAATTCTGAAGATGATGAAATGAGGTTTTCAGGACTCAACAACGAGACCGACATACCGTCACGGTCCTTCCAGAAGCTCCATAAGTATGCTACCAAAAACGGTACTGACAGTCAAGGCGGAAGTGAAGAGGACCAATCAGGTTAGGACACGTCATTGACGGCGTCACCATTACGTCATTTCCGCTTGGAAACGTGAAATCGTCATATGTGTAATGTTATCACATGTGAGGCTCGTAACAACAGTGACTGATCATCAGTTGTAGACTAACAATGCGCATGCTCCGCTTTGCTTCATAATTGTACCTGGCTGCCATGTTGGTTTTTTCTTCTTTTTTTTCGTGTTTTTTTCTCTTGTTCTGATCTTCTTGTCCAGGGACGTTTCTATGTTAAATATAAGGAACCGACCATCTGAAAATCGGGAGAGGGGCCTGGAATTTTTAAAGAGAACAATGTGTGCCAGAAAGTCTGAAAATATATTTTTGTGTAGTGTTTTGCAAAATATCGAAACAAATTTAGGTTCTTTATCATGTAGGATGTTATGAAAATAAATGAACTCCTCCTTTCAAAGAAGACAAATGTATGTGTCCGACTGAATAAACAATAAGTGTAACAAAACTTCGATGTTCATTCACGATATATTCCTTATTGGTAATGATAGTCGGTCTGTCTTCTCTTTGTACTTAAGGCACTAGGTTATAGTTTACACTAAATGTCGTCGCCATATGTTTGTATAGTGTTGAAATATTGTTTGTAAAGTGTTCACATAGTGTGATTGTAAAGCTTTGTATATTGTGATTGTAAGGTTTTTATTGTTTGTAATATGTTGATATTATGTGATTGTAAAGTGGTGGTATATTGTGATTGTAGAGAGTTTGTATATATGTCTTTGATTGGCACTCTAGAAGTTGAGGAGATGAAGAATGAGGACAATTATTTTTATACAATTTCTTTATTCTATATACACTACTTGCTTAACAACGACATTAGAATCGATCTCAAAACGTCGCCTAAACAGAATAAAGAAGTTGTATATCCATAAAAATTGTCCTCATTCTTGTTGATATATTGTTTGTAAAATGTTGATAGATGTATGTTTGTTAAGTGTCGCCATATTGTGATTGTACTATGGTGTTATATTGTGTTTATACAGTTACAGAGCAGCAACCAGAACGAGTGGGCAACTATGACGAGACTTCTATACGATACAAAGGAAAACACATTCCTTCTCCCTCCTTCCGCGTTCTTAAATCATGGGCTGAGCTCGATACACAAGTAGAACGTAAGTGTGTGCATGCGCGTGTGTGCGTGATGCTTGACTTTGAAACTGAAATGCTTTGAACATGTTTTACTGCAATTTACAGTGAACATTTCTTGCATTTGTTTTAAAAATACTAAAATATATTTTTCATTAATATAGCCGAATTGCAGATCGTATGATCAAGAGAGATAAACATTGTAGAAAGGCCATTTCTTCTAGAGCCTTTACTATCAATTGACATCCCAACATGTCTTTAGCGTGTTATCAACGTTCCAGAAATGCCTGTGAAGTCGTCCCGGAAGGATGAGGATGAGGATGACGGTCTTCCAGAGACGCTCAACCCAGATGAAATCAGGGATGTCCGTTATAAGGGGGGTCATATCCCCTCCCGCGTCTTCAAGTCCCTGCAGAGGGCCGTAGGGGATGATACTCCCGAGAATCCTAATGGTAAGTGTGGATACTTCACTGCAGTTTGTGTACGGGTGGGTGAAGGAGCTGTCACAGCGGAATCATTCTCTTTGGGGATGCATGACTTTTAGTGAGGGAAAACTTACAAGTTTAAGGATTTTCATGATTCAGAGCCTTTGGGGTATTCAGGTTTAAGTGTTCTGACAGACCTACCACATGCCCACACCTGTAGCTAGGTTGGCCGATCCAGGCCTGAACACAGACTGTGATATATTGGAAACCTGCTGACCTACTCACTCTTTCGCTGTATGCAACTCTGTCTTGTCTGAACCGTAGAATTTTCCCTTCCGCCCAGCCTTTTCTGCAATGCTAAAGCCAGAAAGAAAGCAAGTTTAGATCACCTCAGGTTCACCGATTACGGTTTTGAGAGGAGTCGCCTCACAGTCCCTGTACCGCAGTTTTTCTGCAATGCTAAAGACTTAAATGAAGCATGTCTAGATTTAGATTTTGTCAGTGACTCTCCCATCTTACTGGCGCTCCTTTTCTGTTTTAAAGGAATTACATGTTTCTATCGAAAATATATATATTCAGAGACTAAGCATTAGTGTGGAGTGTCATCGAGACAAGGTGGTATTTACAGGATGATATTTCGAAAGTGGATGAATGGGTGTTGGGGTGTGGTGGGGTGGGATTTACACCAGGCCAACAACCAGTGGTTGATAACATGAACAACGTCCCGCGCCGTCAGGGTACATATGACATAAGGTTTTCATACAAGCAAAAGAGTTTATTTGGTGATTGTCATAACGAGAGACTTCAGGGAATGATATTGCTTGAACACTGCTGTCGTACACCTATACCTATGTTGATCATGATGATGCAGTCAGTATGCTTCAGTGTATCATTCTTCCACAGATCCTCCGACCCAGAATAATCACAACCAGACTCCGAGCCAGGGTTCCTCCAGGCCGAAGATCAAGGTCATCACCCAGCCTCCCCCGACCGCCAGTGGGGCCACGGATTTCTAAAAACCGCAAACAGGACTAGTGGTCTAAAGCCTCCTGGTCGCCATCTTGGATCCATTTCAGATGGACATCAAAAGGAAATACTCTCGTCACACATTTCACCACGTCAAAAGGGTCCTGCGATAGTGAATTGCAAGACCAGTTTTGACCACTGGAGGTGATTTGACCATCATCATGGTGTTCTTCTGTCATTCTGGATGTACTGCAGTGGATGTTCAGGACAATGCGAACGTCATCGCCATTGGTGCTTCTGTCATTGCCATTGAAGCTATACACCTGGTGGTGTACCATTCTTGGCGCTGGAGAATGGATCCGGCATGGTTCCATGTTCTGGTGGTGCTGCTGCCGTGGATTATGCCATACCATTAGTTAATTGTCACATGGTGCTTCCTCCTCGATCTCTATATTTTTGTTTTCATAAATCCCACAGCCAGTTTATATCGGTAAACCTTATTAATTATTCACGGAAGTAATTCTCTGATTCACAAAATACCCAGTGCAGGTAAAAAATATATGAACCAGAGACACCATGTGCTGTGTTTTGGGTTCGTATATCCACTTAAGACTAGACTAGACTCTTCAGACTTGCATCATATTCCAATAGAGTTCATTCAGCGCTTTGAACCCAGGCTTTCCCTCCCAGTATTGGCATCGAGATAGACGTACACATGGATTACATCGTCAGAAACGTGCTGTCGGAGACACGCGATAGAAATAGGCCTGTAAGGATGTTTGTGTATGGGGAGGTAACTCTTCGCGGTTCTGATGAAAGTGGTGGATGACATGAGTGTTTGGAATAGATGGGGTTTGTACATATTCAGAGGGTTCATGATTGAACTAACCCTGATTTCGCCAGCGTTTGTGTGTTACAACATAGCAATATTAAGAACTATCAGTCATCAACATTTCGCCAAGTGGACAAATCTAGTTAAAAGAATATATATTTCGTTCGGTTTGAAGTGATACGCAAGATGAACTTAAGAAGAAAGCAGCGGTTTATAACCATCCAATACATTAACATGGCGACAACATTGCCAGAGACATTTTCGAACCGTCAGTGAATACAAACTGTATCATTTGTGGATATGCAAGAATTAGTGTGCAGTGCAGTAATTTAAACAGTTAGTACTTCGGTAGCTGTTCTAGTTTGTGAAGCTGTTGAGCTGTGCACATGTACATATGTACGTCGTTTGTACTGCAATGTCAGGGTGTGTCACGGTGTGTCACGGTGTCTTTCACCTGCCCAGGTGTGTCACACTGTCATTCAACAAATGATTAATAGTTCCTCAAACCTCTTCGCGCACCAAAACGGGAACCCTCAAAATGAACAATATCTTTAACTATACTGGTATACGTGTGGAGTGGTAAAAAGAAATTGACATTATCTTGTGTTCGTAACTTCAGTTAAAGCTACAGCACAAGCACTTTTCGTAAATCTGAAAATACATTGTTCATATACCTGTACACAATTATAGATAGAACCCACTACTGGAACCTTGGACAAGGCGTACCAGTCGATTATGCCGTTTTGCCGGCACAATATTCTTTTTCGATTGGCGTGTAACAGTACCTTTTATCGATTGGTATGTACTTATGTAGCGTATATATCGCGTTCTGCCTATCAAAAGCATTTGTGTTACATTTTACATTTACCAAGCAATGACTGTGAAACTGTCTCTACATGTTACTAATAATACATATGCTCTAACTGTGATTGTTTACGCAAGTCTGTGTGTCTTGTACAAACCTTTGTGTTGAATTGTATCGTTTGCTGTGCCATATACCCGTGTAATCACGTGTACATAAGGATTTGTACCTATCGAACAGCAGCTAGGATTGAACAACGATAATTTAACATGCACAGTGAAAGCCTTTATCAATTGTAATTTCTGTCTTTTGTCAGCTCGACAAATCAGGAAACGGCGTTTCTCAGTAAAATATGCCACAGCCTTAAGAATATTTCTGAGAACCTCTTTCGTTGCATATTTGTACCCCAATACAATATAGTGCTTGAGAACGTATGTAAACTTTGAAATAATTATACATTATCCATAATACGGGCAGCTGCAATCAGTACCATAGCTGCAGTAGACTGTATAAATGCATTCAATTAATCTCCGCTTACAGGAAGCATGCCCTAAGAGATTAGTTCAGGTTAACTTATTTTGTTGTGTTTGGGCGCCCTGCTCCCGTGCAGGGAATGTTACGCAATCTGTGTGACCGACTATCCCTGCTTTTTGTTCTAACGGGGAATAAAGAACGAAAATTTCAGATTTGTGTTGTATTTTTTTCGACGTGACCTGGCCCCGATTTCTCGAAACAAACTTAAGTCTGAGTTATGACTTAAGTTAGAGTTTTTACTCAAATTTGAGAAAACGCATTTCTCAGAATGAACTGAAATCGATATAAAACTCAAACATAGTAGACGGTTTGAGTTTGGTGAATACAATACTTAAGTTGTTTGCCCCTTTTTTAATTTAAAAATGCAGTTGAATTAAAAATTCAGCTGTTTCAACTTGTCAAACTCAGTTTGAAATTTGAGTAAAAACTTAAGTTTGTTTCGAGAAATTGGGGCCTGTTATCTCTCGTGTTTTTTTGTTTGATATGATTAACGTCGCACTCAACAATATTCCAGCTATATGGCGGTGGTCTGTAAATAATCTAGTCTGGACCAGACAATCCAGTGATCAACATCATGAGCATCGATCTACGCAGTTGGGATACGATGACATGTGTCAACCAAGCCAGCGAGCCTGACCACTCGACCTTGTTAGTCGCCTCTTACGACAAGTATGGGTTGCTGTAGACCAATTCTAACCCGTATCTTCACGGGATATCTTAGTTGTGACTCTCACAATTCAGTTGTGACTTTACCTTTATCCAGTTGTGACTACCTTTATCCAGTTGTAACTACCTTTATCCAGTTGTGACTACTTTTATCCAGTTGTGACCGCAGGACAGTGCATTCGTCCAACGCTTGTCTAGATGGTGTGCACATAATGCGAGTCGGGACAAGTAGATCGTGATCATTCCTTGAGGATGATTTGTGTTTAATGTCACCTTGAATGGCGTATGATCTGGACGTGTCAGTCTCGGATGAAGTTGAAGAGCAAAACGTGACATTGTTCTTACATATTACGACTTAAGTAAAATAAACGCACACGAATATGTCGTTGACAGATCATCATCAGGACGAATGTAGGATTATAAAAGAAAACGCATCCTGGCACAGCTAAGGGACCCTATTCTAAATAACAGCTAGCAACAACCAGAACCACTGATTGAACTTGATCAGCCAGTCACTGAGTGGGTTACGTTTAGCAGTTTTCAACCTTGTCGCAATACCCCAAATAATGCACACTTTAAATTGCTTGCTTCTAGTAAATGATTCCACGAACACATTCTGACATTATCTGGAATATGTGCACATAAATTAACTTCTAGATCTGCGATAGGTGCCGCTGGGCAACGAGAATAGCGCCAAACACAAGTAAAACCAAACGAAATTAAAGTCTATCATATGCAACTTTTGATTCTGCTAATGACTTCTGCAGGGACTTTCACTTCATATCGCATTGTTGATTTGTTGAAATCTACTCTATCTACGTTAGTTACTGCAAGAATTGTAGATTACCACGACACCAGACATCATGGTACATTCACGAGTACAAAATGAATTCTACGAGCACAATGTGACACTCCGTAGGCAAATTATGTCCTCATAATGCTGAGCAGCAGGCAGGGCAACAACAAATACCATCATTTGGCATGATGCAGTTACGTATTGAAACATTGCTCTGTGTGTGCAGAGAATACATACAGCCCAGACAGCACACAAGCATCCTGGGTCCCGATCCTCAAAACGTTCGCATTGCTACGACATTCCACATTCGTAAGTCTATGTTAAAGTGTGGGAGTTACGATCATCTTAGCGCTACGTCCGCTTTGTGGGACGGTGCGCTTGGTTCCGATCCACAAAACGTTCGCAGTGCTACGACATTCGTAAGCCTATGATAAACTATAGAGTTACGACAGGTCCCAACATTATGAACGCTTTGTGGATCTATACCCTGCATATCAATAAATATAGAATAAAATATCAAAATTCTGTATAATAAATGCATTTTATTTTCACTCCATACACATTCCTGACACATTTTAGATTTTACAAAACAACTTGGAAATCACAGTGAAGTGTTACTGTTTTCTTGAATACACAACTGTTAAATATATATAAATCAACTGTAAGTGGTTCTATGGCAGAGGTTTGCAAATACTGTGACAGTGTGGTTTCTTAAACTGTAAAAGCTCCTGACAAGGTGGTGCACCATCACCCATGTACATGTATCACAACTGTGTGGTTTTGATGCTCAAAAGATGCATGCGTGTGTATGAATGTGCGGCTGCTTGTACTAGCCCAGATGAAGCTCAAAAGTATAAAGTTTTATAAATAAACAAATGTATATAAATGTATGAGTGAGTGAGTGTTTAATTTTAGCACTCAGCAATATTCCAGCTATATGGCAGCGGTCTGTAAATAATCAAGTCTGGACCAGACAATCCAGTGATCAACAGCATGAGCATCAATCTGTGCAACTGGTGTACTGTATGTGTGCAAACAACATATTAGTCCATTCTTGCTGATACACATGGTTCGGAATTTGAGTTTGTAGATTAGAATGCATCATCTCAAGAGTTCATACATGACACAACCTTTGAGTGAACTTTGTCAACAATTACATCATTATCATGTACTTTGTCTAAACCAGCAAATGATGGGCCAAGTGTCTTGTCATTCCAGTCCAGAACTATCCATGTAATTTGTACGTGAGTGAATATTGTCACTGCCAATGTGTAGATAGTCATCATTACTTAAATTGAAGTCAGCAGACAAAACATTAATTGTATTAATTTGATCAAAATTGCCGTGACTCAATTCATAAGAGCCTACTGGCAATCAAGGATAAGTTGAGCACCGACCTGACAATTGACCCATATTAAAATGTATGAGTGCCACCCACTGGTGCTTGCCATTGTGAGCGAAGGGGCCCCAGGTTGTCCGCGATCAAGTGTAATGCGATGGGTGATGTGCATGGCCTGTCTCAGCGCGGAATCAATTTCATCGTCATACACTGCACGTGCACTAGCCTACATCTGATCTCCCTTTCACAAACCAAATAGATTTGCTCATTGCCGTGCACCACCTACTTCTCGTAAAATGCGTTCTCTGCGCTGGTCCAACTTATCCTTGTTTGCCAGTAGGACCTCTTGTAAAGTTCAACCTAATTTTGTAAAGCAGGGACACTCTATACTGAAGGGGTATGTACCCATAACATAATGATACAAGGTGCAACTCCATGGACTGAAGGGGTATGTACCCATAACATAATGATACAAGGTGCAACTCCATGGACTTTTCGTATTTCTCCACTGTGCTGAGGTAATTAATAATCAGACTTTTTTACAAAAGTAATGAAGATTTGATTAAATGCACAAATATTTCTACATTTTAAAACATAATCTTCTACCAAATTATCAGCTGAATAAACATATCAAATCTGCGTTCAGGCAAACATAGCACTACACAGGGTAGCACCTACACAAAAGAACAACCCAACAATGAAAACAAAATTCAACAAAACAACTTACACTGAAGGAGTCCAACAATCTTTAGACAGCTGTGATCGTTCAGCTCTCTTACAACTAAAACCCTAACAGGAGGTACATGTATTTAGTAACGACTGTTGAAACAAATGCGATAAATAATGCAAAGGGCAGACATCAAGATTTGCTACAATGCACTTTAAGAAAGACAGTAAACGATCCAAAGATTCCATGTACAGAAAATATTTGGCCTGGGTTAACAGTTTGCTATACTTGTTCACACACCTAACTCACATACAATCACAAACTCTCAATATATTTGTAGATAAACATCCTTCAAGCACAAACATATTCAATCTAATATAGCTTTATATATATAGCCACACATATTAAGAAGCTATTATACTCTAGCACTCATGTTTGTACAGCCTTGAATGTTAGATATTGAGTGGTGTCTACGTCTCTTCATGGGATGCCCTGGGCCCCGTTTCTCAAAGCAATCCTATGACTAAGATGATCTTTACTCCCAAACTCTAACATAGACTTACGACAGTCGTAGCGCTACGATCACTTTGAGGAACGGCCCTGAATCATTAAGTGTTTACATGACTAGACTTCCATGCTCAATTTCAAACACAAGGCACACGTGTATACAACTGTTCTTCACAGTTTCTCAAGTTAATACAACTGTTCTTCACAGTTTCTCATGTGAGCACAACTGTTCATCACCTTTTCCTATGTGAATACAACTGTTCTTCGCCATTTCCCATGTTAACACAACTGTTCTTCGTCAATTCCCATGTGAATACAAACCGTTCTTCACCATTTCCCATTAGAATGCAACTGTTCTTCATTCCCCATGTTATTCAACAGTTGTCACATGACTGTTTTAATACAACAGAACGGCTGAACTATTAATGTATCAGAACTGTCCATGATCCTTTTGGCAATACTCTGGTGGCAAGTTACAATATCAGTAGTTATCATCCATGTTGGTCAACAATACAGGAGACAGAGGAAGTATTTTACCATATCTAATATAAATACATCAATTGTGCCAATACCTTATTAGTACTGCAACAGTAAATATACGCCTTAACTATACGCCTTAACGTCCCCTTTCATCAGTGTGCTACAGATGTTATCACAACCCAACATACACACCATATATACATGGAGGACACAATCTAGTGCATACACTAGGGCCACCTGAGATATAACTATAGAGAAGTATTTACAATACAAGACACACCACCAAGGCCGACAGATGTACAGTAGATCTCAGCAAACTGCTGGTATTTCATTTTATATACTTGAGAGGTTGTGACTAAAAATCTCAACACGTAGCAAACTACACTTCCTATAAAATACCACTTGAGGGACCACTGAATTCTGACTATGTCTGTGTTGCAATGTTCTATGTCACATGTTGACCCTAATTTTTGTATTTTACATAATCTAAAAAAATAGCTTTTTGTTCCCCTCCTTAATGCCAGCTCTGGATAGTTTCATTAGTGCTACCACCAGCAAGGTTGGCTACCAAAGTGATTTGTATAGAACAACAATTATGTTGTGTGATAACCTGATAACCTAGAATGACAGCCTTGTCTAGTTTTGTCTCAATCCAGTTATCTGTAGTGAGCATTGATGGCTCTGGCGATGACTAGTCTCCTGATCTCACTAGTCCCGCACCTATCTCGTACAGCTTGGCATCCCGCAGTAGACGTCCCGTTGGGTAGTCGTTGATATAGCCATTACCACCTGAAATAATCAGGTCAGTATGCAGGTGGGGAATAAGAAGTAGGTGACTGAGTTTGATGAGTTTAAAGCAGCTATGATCAATATTTCATGTTTTTCGCTATGTAGATGACAAACCATGTCAGGATAAAGGCAAATCTGGGGAAAGACATAAGTAACCATGGTAACAATCTTTCATCAAAAGAAGAACAAGAGGTTTCAAGTAAAGAGACACAACTCTGTGATTTGTTGTTTAAGCCACACTCAGCAATTTTCCAGCTAATCGAATCTGGACCAGACAATCCAGTGATCAACAGCATAAGCATCAATCTAAGCAATTGGGATACAATGACATGTGTCAACCATGTCAGCGAGCCTGACCACCCGATCCCTTTAGTTGCCTCTTACAAGCATGGGTTGCTGAAGACCAATTCTAAACCGTATCTTCACAGGTGACAAGACTCTGCACCAGCTAGTTACTGTGCCTCAGATGACAGAGACTGTTCCCAAGGTGGGAGCTGTTGGATGTGAGTAGTATCTTACTGTGGCTCCAGTGATTGGGTGAATGTGTTTACACTATAGTCCACCTAATACCAATTGGGTGAATGTGTTTACACTATAGTCCGCCTAATATTAATTGGGTGAATGTGTTTACACTATAGTCCGCCTAATACCAATTGGGTGAATGTGTTTACACTATAGTCCTAATACCAATTGGGTGGGTGAATGTGTTTTTACACTATAGTCCGGGTGAATGTGTTTACACTATAGTCCTAAATACCAATTGGGTGAATGTGTTTGTGTTACCAATACACTATAGTCCGCCCTAATACCAATTGGGTGAATGTGTTTACACTATAGTCCACCTAATACCAATTGGGTGAATGTGTTTACACTATAGTCCGCCTAATACCAATTGGGTGAATGTGTTTACACTATAGTCCGCCTAATACCAATTGGGTGAATGTGTTTACACTATAGTCCCACTATACACTATAGTCCGTCCTAATACCAATTGGGTGAATGTGTTTACACTATAGTCCGCCTAATACCAATTGGGTGAATGTGTTTATAGTCGCCACCAATAGTCACTATAGTCCTAATACCAATTGGGTGAATGTGTTTACACTATAGTCCGCCTATACCAATTGGCTGAATGTGTTTACACTATAGTCCGCCTAATACCAATTACATCAGTGATCAACATCATGAGTAACAATCCATGACATTTTAGGTTACCATGACAACAGGTAGTGTTGGTAAAAGTACCAGACAAGTGAGATGAGTTCATCAAACTTCTGTCATTTCATAATGGAGAACATTTATGAATAACAAACTTGAGGAATTGTGTGAATGGGAGATCATGGCTTTTATACCATATTTAACTATATAACAGATATATTTTGGTGTGGTCACCAGAACCTGGCTTCACACACTTTGACAATTTGTGGAACTGAACCCATGAGTTCAGAGCATAGAGCAGATGCTTTATAAACCTAGCTACCCAATCTGTCTACAGTTATCTCCCCTGAAAGATGCACGCACATACCCAAGATCTGAATCGAGTCCAGAGCCATCTTGGTGGCCGCCTCAGCAGTGTAGAGGATCACCCCAGCACAGTCCTGTCACACAAGTCATGTTATTAGTGAATACTATTATGCAGTAACCAGTGCAGAACTACAATGTTCCTCGAAAAGAAGATGATGCGATTCATAATTTTTACAGACTAATTCTCGCCTTCAGTGCAGGTAGATGCACAAAGGCTTGTCACATGTTTCCTATTATAGTAGATATGTTGTATCATCATATCATGCTATGAATAATATTGCATAACAATTTTACTGTTACAGGTTTGAACAACACGGGATATGTCATGCTTATGCTCAAGGCGTATGAAAAGAAGCACAAGGATACTCAAACTTACATTAGGATGTCGCTCTCCTCTATCTAGAGCCCTGGCGACATTGTACACATATGAACGGCTGGCATTCAAAATGGTGTACATGTCAGCCATCTTGGATTGAATCATCTGCAAATTAAAAATTACAAGTTTAAATACCAAAGTTATTATGTCAAGCAATGGACATCTTGTTTACACACAGCATGACACAGATGAACGTGGTCCTTCTGAATTTTGTTGGAACTCGATGAACTGCAAAACTCTTGTAACCCTATTAAACTGTTGAAGTGAGTCATAATTCTATGCAGCCTTTGACAGAGATTCATCCATCTAATTCTATTTGAAGAGTCCTTTGAGTCCTGGTAAAAATGAGTGCAGTTTAGGCACATCCAATATAAAAGCTACATATGGCGGTTGAAGAATAATTGGAGATGTGATCAACACAATGGGATGAACATGTGTCCACAGGGCTTGTAACGCTAAAAACTGCCATCAAGGTATGTACTGTCACAAACGGGGTCTTATCACTATATCAAAGGAAAGGGATGTAACAAGGTCAACACACCAAGTTCGTTTCAGGGCGAATTTAACAATGCTCACTGTATTTATCCCATTTAAAGAATGCACACATTTCAAGCCAATAGATCTGCCTACAAAATAAGACATACAGCACAAAAATCAAGGCAGTACTTTGGGAGCTAGGGTCATCAGAAGCTCAAAAAAATCGTGATTTCTTGATTCCGAGCCAAAATCCCTGGTCAGAATTTGTAGCGGTAACTCACCCATTTATGTTTATTTTACAGTATACACATACGACATGCACCAAAACATGTTGAACTGATGGCACCTGTCAGCGCGCTAGTCGCCATTCTTTCGGAAACACTTACACCTCACTGTCATAATGAGTTTATGTATATTTATTCATCGCAAACAGAATTGTGTCGTGCCCGTTCGTCATTGATGACCTTGGCCTTAACCTGCCCCACACTTAAAAGGAGCAAGGGAGCTCACTGGTTATAAATGAAATATGTCCCATCAGATCACTGACTCTTTTCAGTGCGGGGCAGGTTAAGGCCAAGGTCGTCAATGACGAACGGGCACGACACAATTCTGTTTGCAATGAATAAATGTACGTAAACTCTTTATGACGTGTAAGTGTCTCCGAAAGAATGGCGACTTGCGCGCTGACAGGTGCCATCAGTTCAACATGCTATTCTATGGGACTGTCTGAAAATGTAATTTTTTGAGTAAAATTGATATTTTATACTTATCCTGACTCATGCTCTTTTTGCTTGTCTCCTTCCTCTTGCGAACATAGTGGAACACTTGTATCTCCCTAATTGAAGTTCCCTTCAATGTAAAATCACTAATTAGTACACCACGAGTTACCTCCCTTCCACAAGCGCGGGAACAAGGGCGCCACCTCTACCCATGTGCCTCACTCTCTCCTCATATACTGAGCCCAACATTTGAATTTACAAGGAAATCCAAAGTGTTATTTGGGGAGGATGGGAGGGCTGACCTCATGAGTCAGGATAAGTATAAAATATCAATTTTACTCAAAAAATTACATATTTTTCCTTATCCTGACTCATGCTCTTTTTGCTTGTAGAATCCAACAGAGCGGAGGTGGGAATATATAATACTTTGGATTTTAATAATTAGTGATTTGAACTGTGATGATTGTAATAACCCTATGGGAACTTCATAAAGGCACTGAATTGATGAATTCCTGCTGCTAACTTATCAGCTGCCATATAAAGGTTATTACAATGTACTTATTATGATAAAGTATATATAATTAACTTAAGCTACATATATAATAGCCAAAACTCTGTAGAGTTTATTAGCTTATAGATTTATAATGTAACCATAGTACTAAGCTTAAGATAAGATTAGACTTAAGCTAAATGTAAATAGCAAAAAAACTCCTTAGAGTTTATCAACTAATATACTTTTATGTTATAACCATAGTACTGAGCTTAAGATATAATTAAACTTAAGCTATATATATAATAGCAAAACTCCAGTAGAGTTTTGTTAGCTAATACATTTTATAATGTAACCATACTGCTTAAGATATGATGAAACTTAAGCTAATTGTATAATAGCAAAACCCTTTAGAGTTTGTTAGCTAAAATACTTATATGATATAAACCTAGTATTGAGTTTATGAAGGAAACCTTAAGCTACATATATAATAGCAAACACTCCGTAGAGTTTGTTAGCTAATATACTTATATGATATAAACATAGTATTGAGCTTTGAAGGAAACCTTAAGCTACATATATAATAGCAAAACTCCAGTGAGAGTTTGTTAGCTAATATACTTATATGATATAAACATAGTATTGAGCTTAAGATTTGAAGGAAAACTTAAGCTACATATATAATAGCAAAAACTCCGTAGAGTTTGTTAGCTAATACAAGTTATAATGTAACCATAAAGTTTAAATTATGATGAAACTTAAGCCAAATATATAATAGCAAAAAAACTCTTTTAGAGTTTTGATAGCTAATATACCTATATGATATAAACATAGTATTGCGCTTAAGATATGAATAAGCTTAAGTTACATATATAATAGTAAAAAACTCCGTAGAGTTTGTTAGCTAATACATGTTATAATGTAACCATATTGCTTAAGATATGATGAGCCTTAAGCCAAATAGCAAAAACTCTTTAGAGTTTGTTAGCTAATATACTGATATGATATAAACATAGTACTGAGCTTAAGATATGAATAAGCTTAAGCTACCTATATAATAGCCCAAACTCTGTAGAGTTTGTTAGCTTATATATTTTTTACAATCTGAGTATAGTACTATGCTTAAGATATAATTAAGTTAAGGTAAATATATAATAACCAACTCTGTAGAGTTGTTAACTTATATATTGTATGATGTAATAATCATAGTACTGTGATGATAAAAAGAACTTAAGCAAATTATATATAGCATGTAGCTATTTAGTACTGTTATAAGATAAGTAGAAATCTGTAAGATTGACTTATCTTCTTCGAGAACTGTCAACTGTTGTGCGAGGACCATGGGATCGAATTGGTGGATACCTGAGACGTCCTCGGTGATGATATCTCTCAGATAATGGTTGGCAACCACCATATCGGATCTCCAGAAAATAAACCCTCCATTATTTCAAATAATATTGTGTAGATCAATTGTAGAAGTTAGCGCTCTAATATCATGAGTATTAAAAGCTCATGGAGGGTCGGATTGGGTCCATCCGTCTTGTATGCAAGTAGTATGACAGTTCTGATCCAAACGGAGATATAGTACGTGAGATTTCATTCTGCGTAAGTTGATGATACAGGAAATAATCTGTTGTATTATTCCCTTCTGTTTGTTTCGGTGGAGATAAATTTACAGTGCTCTTGCTGGCCATCGTGATAGAATCATCGTATCATGGAGTCCAAGTATGTCATCCAGGCGTGTTCATAAACCTCACTTGTGAGGTGTTGGAGCACTATATTCAGATCCCCAAGTTGGAGGGTGAAACTTCTGTTTTAATTCTCCAATCAGAAAGTTTAAGTAGGTTTACTAACCATCTAGTTGTGTTAGTAGCTTGATTATGAAATTCAGCTGTAGTCTGAGACGCTGTGGATTTAGATCCACTTGTATCCCGTCGTCTAGGTTATTCGCTGCGAAGTCCTTGACGATGTAGGTGCACAACCAGGTGTGTCTGTCCTCGTTGAACTTTATGTAAAATTGCCTGACTGCCGTGCCCTCGTCCTAACTTGACAGGGGAGGTCTCTAACCTGAAGAAAGCAGCCCAATCATGAAGGTTCAGATTAACTGGACTGTAAGGAGGCTTGCTCGATTCACTGATATATAGTTGTCACTTGTAACGTAAGTCTTGAACTGTGAACTAAGATGGACCTCTCGTGGAGTGCGTTGTCCAACGCGTCCAATCAGAACAAGGCATTTTGATTCTGTAGAATACCCGGCTGTGATGTCACCGGTGTAGCAGGAAAAACCTTGTATAAAATCTTGCCGTCGTTGATATTAGCATAATCGTCGGTCTTCACCGTGAAGCTTCGAAGTTACCGAGTGAGTACCACGTGTTTTGAGGGTTAAGGTAAACGCAGCGAAACCTCCGGCCCAAATACCTCGCTCTGTAATATTAATGCTGGGTAGGTTATTTTCCTGGCTGTCGTGAATGTAACTTCAGTTTTGAATATAATTCCGACTTCCTTATATAAAGGTACAATAAACTTGCAAGTTGTGAGCTTGTAGACTGTATACATGAATGTATCGTCATAATTGTAGAATTAAAGCTGAACTTGTACATATTTCTTCTCAGAAACTTTGGCGATTATGAGTTATACTTTCGCTGTAACAAGGCTGCTGTTCAATTTCGATATTGAATTGTCTGCAGATCTGCGTAATGGTCACGCATGTAGATAATCGTATCAGAGTCGGGATTGCATATTCTAGCAATCTATAATGAAAGGTTGATTTCTGTGAAGATCTATGCAACGTCGTTGATTAATTAATATAGCGGCGTTTTGTGTTGTAAATAGCCTGTGCAATTGTCTTGGCGTAGGCTTATAGGCGGCATATGGCATACAGTTGATAGACAACTTATGCGATGTCTTGAACGGACTGGCGAGTAGCTATATATGGCGAGTGGCTAATATATGGAGACCTTGGAGGAGAATTCCTCAGTGGGCGCTGAGACTTCAGCGAAGCTCGAAGTATCCATTCTAGATTTCCTGTGTGAGGTAGACTTGGAGCCACTTAGCCTTTCGCGACCTTAGCGAAGGTATCGAGTCAGAGCCCGATCAGTATATATATAATATATGATGGCTTGCTTCATGAAGCGACCTCTGTGTTCAACAGGAGTGAGTGAGTGAGTGTTTTGTTTTACCGCCGACTCAGCAATATGTGGGTCGGTGAAGCGCTACTCCTCCGTGGCGTCCCTTGTAACTGGTGAGGCTCTAGCTCCTTCGCGAGAGGTGGCCTGGGACTTCCTTAGCGAAGTGTCTAGAATCCGATCAATATATGAGCCGTTAGCTTCATACAGGGTGTGGTTCTTGCTGGTTCTGCATAAGTAGAGCCGAGTAGATCATCCTATCATCTTCAGAAGTCGTGTCACGAAATCTGGTGATAAGAATCTCATTGATCGTTCTAGATCTATTAATGCCAAGAACATACGCCTCTGGCGTTTTGAACTGTTATGGCTTTATGGTAGGCTGTGTCCACATACTGTGGCACCGCGGCAATCGAAGTCGTCGGAGGTAAGGTGATGTCGTCTGCCTCGTCTTTCTTTATCAGGTATGTCTGCGCCGAAGTTGCCACTCTTGGAAGGTGAAGAGAGATCTAGGTTGTTTACCATCAATATCGTATCTCAGCGCGTCTGAGAAAATGATGCCTCCATCATTTTCTATCCCAGCATCGCTGATGAGATGTTGATGCTCTTCTGATGGTGGACTGTGTATTTCTATCTCTATGTCGGTGACGCCGGGGAGACCTGACTGTAGACTTGTGTGCAGACTTGTGTGGTGACCTGTGAGACGATCGGCGTGGTGATGTCACGAAAGAGATCGGCGGTTAACGGCCGGAGATCGTGTTGGTGATCTGCGTCTATGGGTTGACCTTCACCGGAGACCTGTGAGGAGAATGTTGATAGCCAGGCGAAGCTCTTGTGTAGTCAGGTGTCGCCGGCGAAGGCCTTCGCGAAGCTTCCTCTGCGTCCGGTCCTGGGGAACGGCGATTTGACCTTCGCGAAGGCTTCCGTGAGGTCTGATGGTCTGAGTCCGCATCTAAGGATGAAGCCGAGGAAGGTGATGATCTATCCCGCCTTCTCGAAGGCTGTACATCTGGGTCCTTCGTGGAGGTGGTCTGCGACTTCCTTCGCTGCGAAGGTGGCCGTCATGGCTGTTACGCTGATGGGGGGTGCCTCTGGGGTGTCGCTCTGCGTTGGAACCTTCGCGAAGGCTCAGGCCTTGGGCTGGCTGCTTCCCAGTCTGTAGTGGCCCTCCATCATGATCATGATTTGCCGCAACAGTTCATCTGGGATGGTCTGCGACGAATAAGTCGGTGCCCTCTCTGCGATGTTAGCGGCGGGGGCCCTCAGGGAAGTCGTCTGGCGTCAGTGTAGAACCTCAGGCTGCATGGCGCATCTCTGTTGATGTCACTGTAGCTGTCTCCGGTCGCTTCTTGTATGCACGTCGGGGATGATGATCGGCTGATCATTGTAGAGGCCCAGTTCAGCGGCTGGAACAATCTCGGGTTGAGAAAGTCCTAGTAGACTTCGTTGATTTCCCCTCAGAGGTCGACGCTGCCCTGGGGGTGCCCGAAGTCTGCGTTGAGTGTTGGTAGCGGCCGGGACCCTCAGGAAGATCATAGAATATCAGCGTTGGTACATCAGGCTGCATGTTGATCTGCGCTGACATCACTGTTGTCGACATCGGTCATTCTTTTGATGTACATCAGGTATGATGATCGGCTGATCATCATACAGGCTAAATCTGCGGCGGGAACAATCTCGGCTGAGAAAGTTCAAGTAGACTTCGTTGATTTCCCCTCAGAGGTCGCTTGAGATGCAGTAGAAACCCTCTAGTCTTCGGCTCGCGTGATGGGATGTCTGGGGAAGCAGGACGCTTCTTGAGGCGGGCGGACTACGCCCCACGCCTCTACCACTCTAAGCGAACACCAGGCGGGAGGGGGTCGACCAACAGCAGTAGACTGGCGAGGGTTCTGGTGTATCAGTCATGGCTAGACTCTGCATACAGCTGACCTATCTGCTGTCTGTCTCAAACGCCAAAGTAATTATTTATTAAAGGTAGAATTGGATAAACTAGTATCGCAACTGCAACGCGTGAATCACATGAAACATGGCGCAGTACAGCTAGGGCATATTAAATGCGGATCAGCAGCAAAATAAAAAACGTAATGTGCAACAGTACAGAATTTTTATCAACGTAATCCGCTGCAACAGCACGGTGTCCCGTGCATAAACAGTAGAAACACGACTAAATATCAATATATAATTGTTGAAAGATACTAGCTAAACCTCTATAGATCTCTAATGCGAGGTAACTAACTAATTATAATCAAAAGGATATAGTGTGTCGGGAGACACAGGCGCTCTCACGTCCAGCTCACTGGGCGAAGAAGGAGAGAGTGAGGCACATGGGTAGAGGTGGCGCCCTCGTTCCCGCGCTTGTGGAAGGGAGGTAACTCGTGGTGTACTAATTAGTGATTTTACATTGAAGGGAACTTCAATTAGGGAGATACAAGTGTTCTACTATGTTCGCAAGAGGAAGGAGACAAGCAAAAAGAGTATGAGTCAGGATAAGGAAAAATTTGTCTTTTCACCTGGAAGTGTCCAATTTTGGTTCCAAAACACTCTCGAATATGTGCATATTGGAATGCAACATCACAGCAAGCTTGCATGATTCTGTAATGATATCAGAACTAAAACATTAGGGGTCCTGTGGCCCTTTTATTGCAATGATATTTCAAACTAGGGACCAATGGATCTTTAATTCTTAAACTTAGGGCTATGATAAGGATCCCCTCTACTTTCATTCTAACTTTCACAGGCACCTATAACAACTAAACTTACAGAGTTTAAGTACCTTTGAAGTATTCTACTCTGTAGATGTTGTTAATGCATTAGTGAGTGAGTGAGTGAGTATGATTTAACACCTCTTTTAGAAATATTCCAGCAACATCACGGTGGGGGACATAAGAAATGGGCTTCACACATTGTACCCCTGTTGGGAATCGAACCCGGGTCTTCAGATCCACGTGATGAGCGAACGCTTTAATCATTAGGCTACCCCACCGCCCCCGTTAGTGCATTCAAAACATTAAAAAATATATAAAACAATAACACCTGTTAATAATAATAACAAAGAAGGAAAAGAATCCAGTTATCTACAATCAACATACTGGTAATTTTGTTTACACACATGAATCTGGGAATCAGAAAATACCATCAGCCTTATAGATTCATATTTTTAAAGACCTGTTAGATGGATTTGTATTAAAATCAATGTGTGGAAAACTGGTTACCAGTCCCCAATGGACTCAGAATTTTGTAGTCTAGCATGAATTTCAAAGGCTGATATTGTGTTGTTAGAAAAAATGACTGTCATAATTGCAAAGCAAAATGAAAACAATCCAAGTTATTACCTGAATCAGCACTTGTAAATGTATATTACTCAGCTTTAAACATTGACATTCCTATTATTCAGTGATACACAACTGATCACATTAGTTGTTATTGACAGAGGAAGGTTTCCATGTCTCACTATCCCTATCAAATACTGAGCAGGATATGTTTCAAAAAGGAAAGATCTATAATGTCTTGAGTCGTAGCAAAAGGGTAACATGTGGATATATCGAAGCTTCACAGAAACGCACTAAAACACTGTACGGAAATAAAGCAAATCCAACATTATCTAAATCAAATATTTCCTTTCATATTGCAAAATACTTTACTTTTACTAAGATTATTATTACTTTCCATTGGCACATTAACGAATTCCAAGTGTTAAAAAGCTTCTGCTAGTCAGATTCATTAACGTCTTTGAGTCGCATTCATGAAATAAAAGAAGTTGTTATCTATAAAGTTTGCCAATATTGTAGATTCATTAACGTAACTGTACTAGGGTGTCAGGCAACAGTGATTGTGAACATAGATAGCAGACAGTGGACGACAGGCAGCTACTTACCCCAGAGGGCCTGCCGCCAGGATACATCGCTCTATGTCTAGACCGCTAAACAGGACGTAAACGCCTCGGTCCTTCTGTCCCAGCATATTGTCCTCTGGTGATTACATAGCAGGAAACAGAGGAAAGAATGTCTAGCATATGTTTATGTTGTATGTGCTGGGGATACTGCAGGTGGTGACCACTCAGTGATAATGACTACAGTGAAACCCTTTACATCTGGACTGTTCTGTCACCAGTGAAACCCTTTACATCTGGACTGTTCTGTCACCAGTGAAACCCTTTACCTCTAGGATTGTTCTATCCCCAGTGAAACCCTTTACATCTGGACTGTTCTGTTACCAGTGAAAGACTTGACCTCAGGAATGTTCTATCCCCAGTGAAACCCTTGACCTCAGGAATGTTCTATCCTCAGTGAAACCCTTGACCTCTGGAATGTTCTATCCCCAGTGAAACCCTTGACCTCAGGAATGTTCTATCCCCAGTGAAACCCTTGACCTCAGGAATGTTCTATCCCCAGTGAAACCCTTGACCTCTGGAATGTTCTGTCCCCAGTGAAACCCTTGACCTCTGGAATGTTCTATTACCAGTGAAACCCTTGACCTCAGGAATGTTCTATCCCCAGTGAAACCCTTGACCTCTGGAATGTTCTATCCCCAGTGAAACCCTTGACCTCAGGAAGGTTCTATCCCCAGTGAAACCCTTGACCTCAGGAATGTTCTATCCCCAGTGAAACCCTTGACCTCAGGAATGTTCTATCCCCAGTGAAACCCTTCTGGAATGTTCTACCTCAGGAATGTTCTATCCCCAGTGAAACCCTTTGACCTCTGGAATGTTCTATCCCCAGTTCTCAGGAATGTTCTATCCCAGGAAACCCTTCACCTCTCTGGAATGTTCTATCCCCAGTGAAACCCTTTACATCTGGAATGTTCTATCCCCAGTGAAACCCTTCCCCAGTGACCTCAGGAATGTTCTATCCCCAGTGAAACCCTTGACCTCTGGAATGTTCTATCCCCAGTGAAACCCTTGACCTCAGGAATGTTCTATCCCCAGTGAAACCCTTGACCTCAGGAATGTTCTATCCCCAGTGAAACCCTTGACCTCAGGAATGTTCTATCCCCAGTGAAACCCTTGACCTCTGGAATGTTCTATCCCCAGTGAAACCCTTGACCTCAGGAATGTTCTATCCCCAGTGAAACCCTTGACCTCAGGAATGTTCTATCCCCAGTGAAACCCTTGACCTCAGGAATGTTCTATCCCCAGTGAAACCCATAACATTTTGACTGTCATATCTTCAGTGAAACCCTTTGATTTGATACCATAGCATTCTCAGTCAAACTCTTCAAATTTGGACTTTCTGTCATCTATGAAATCCTTTACCTCAGGACTGTTCTGTCCCTTATGAAACCCTTTACATCTGGAAGCTACTACGATGTCGGGGTTGTACTATTTGCAGTAAACCCTTCACGTGTGAGCTGTTCTAATCCCAGTGTAACACTTGACATAGGGACTGTACTATTCCCAGTAGAATCCTTTACTCTCCCAAGAGACATCATAAAAGTACTTTGGGATGAACACATTTCTGGGTTAATAAATCACTGATATGGGGAATTGTCATGAGTGTGTCCAGAGAGTGAGCCATCAAGGCTAAGGATTTCACTGTACACCAAAGACACAGAAAGTGGTCACCACCATCAGACATTACAAGATGAAACAAACACAAGCAGGTCTTCACAAAGCAGAATATACGTATTCACCTAACAGTGCTTTAGAAAACCTTTTTAGATAAGCATCATGAATCTGAAGAAATGTATGACCATGACACCAGTGTCTGGTGATTTCAATAATTGGTTTAACATCTGAATGTGGTTTCATACAACAAAGTAAGTGTTAGTTTTGTGAAGAGCCAGCCAGTGCTTGTACAACATGGCATACAAACAGCTGAATATGTCATGGAGGAACTCGACATCCTCAAATAATTATACATAATGGAAATGACAGTCAACGTCTTGTATTGAGTGACCTTGACATTGAGTGATTTGTCAGCCATAACTACTAAGCCCCTGTATAAATGTAATCAAACATGTTTGTCTGCCAAGCAGATTTTCTTCTGTTTAACCAAAACAAAAAGATTCTGAGCACCAACTCCTATTTTCAAATTACTATCACATATTCTGCTGTCCGAGTTACCATCAGGAGAAAAACAATGGAGTATCATTCCTTAGCAACACGCTCACCCCAAGCATCCAGACGATGCAAGACCTCGCTCAATGTCAAGGCCAGACATTAGCACATAGACACCCTTGTTTTCCCCGCCAAGCAGATTTTCCACTGAGAACCCAAGAAACAATTCTCCATCTTTATCCAACCAGTCACTCCAGTCACAGTTTACTCAACTTATAAGTTTGTCCCGTTATCCCAGCTCTTGATAATGTGATCAACTATGATTGTGGTTTTAAGGCCATTTCTAAGACTATTTCAGTTACATCATGGCATGAGAGCTGAAGAAAAGCCTGCAGTGATTCAGCTCTTGGTGTTCACCACTTTGGATTCTACTGGCAAACAAGGATAAGTTAAGCACCGACCTGACAATTGACCCGTATTAGAATGTATGAGTGCAGCCCACTGGCGCTTGCCATTGTTAGCGAAGGGGCCCCAGGTTGTCCGCGATCAAGTGCACTGCGATGGGTGAAGCGCGTGGCCTGTCTCAGCAAACACCAAGTTCGACAGTGGCAGGAATCAATTTCATCGTCATGCAATGCACGTGCACTAGCCTACATCTGCTCTACCTTTCACAAACCAAATGGGTTTGCTCATTGCCGTGCACCGCCTACTTCTCGTAAACGCCTTCTCTGCGCCGGTCCAACTTATCCTTGTTTGCCAGTAAGTCAGACTAGGTCCCCAACAATCATTACTGGTTGTAAGAGGCGAACAAGTGGATCAGGTGGTCAGGCATGATGACTTAGCTGATTCTGGTCATCATACCTAACAGCAGGATGGATGTTCACAATATCAATCATTGGACTGGTCTAGATTCAGGCATTTACAACAAGCCTCTGTCATACAGCTGGAATATTGCTACGGTGACTATTTAACAAATGCTCTGATAATACTTTTAATATACGTTATATTCATCTTGCAAGGTCACATTTCATAAAATGATGATTTCTCAACTCCCAACTTCCCAACTCATTTTACCATAGACTCACAGTAACACTTTGAGAAACTGGGGTAATGTGAGACGCCTGTGTACTCAGAAGTAGTTATCAAACAGGTGTATTCTATAATCAAAGATGAGCAACAACAGAACAATACTGGGGACAGATTGTTTTGACAGAAAATTAAGGTAAAAGGGATGAGGCCTTCAAGTTAGGTAAAGATGAAAGTGTAATAGGGTTTGCTAATGGCAACTTTTGGAGACATACATTTTACTTTTGTCGGGTTGAAACCAAGAGTGCACAGAACAAGTACAACAAAACTTGCACCAAAAATCAGAAACTGGCAGATATACAAATCTTTACAAATTTGATCCGAAGACAATCAATATCTAGGAACAGAAGTACCAGGGTTCCTTTAGCCTGTGACATCACTGACATGAGGCAGTGAAGCACACTGAGTGACGAGGGTTAAAAGCAGTCCTAGCAGTATTCCAGCAATGGTCAGAGACATCAAAAAATAGGAATAGAATCAAAGTGTTCCAATACAGATTATACACTTTACCCACTAGGCTACACCACCACCCCTCTTCTGACATAATTGTCTTTCATGAATGCAAGCGGTGACTATTTTACCTGGTACTTTGCAGTCCTCAAAGATGAGTTCGGATGTGTTGGATCCTCGCATCCCCAACTTGTCCAGCTTCTGGGCCGTGCTGAACCCAGGGTAAGACTGGAAATACAAGCACACATCCTGAAGGCTCTATCAGAGTTCAGGGGCGGTGGGGTAGCCTAGTGGTTAAAGCGTTCGCTCGTCACGCCGAAGGCCCGGGTTTTATTCCCCACATGGGTACAATGTGTGAAGTCCATTTCTGGTGTCCCCCACCGTGATATTGCTGGAATATTCCTAAAAGCGGCGGCGTAAAACCCAACTCATTCACTCACTCACTATCAGAGTTCAGAGGACACACCATTGTGGCCTATATACACTGAGAATAGATGCAAATAACTTCCACTTTAAGTCCATGGCTGTTTGAGTGAGTATGATATTTTAGGTCGCTTTTAGCAATATTCCAGCAATATCACGGCAGGGGACACCAGAAATGGGCTCACATTGTACCCATATGGGGAATGAAACCCAGGTCTTCAGCATGATCAGTAGATACTTTAACCTATAACCTACCCACCACCCTACCATGGCTGTTAAATCATTGAATTTATCAAAACTGTAGCAAGTTCGTCCTGAACTCATGGCTTCAGAGATTGATTCAAGCAACTGATTATTTACCCACATTAACATTAAAGATACTTTTCCATATGTATTCAATACAGTTTTATTGATTCAGAACTGTCAATTTGAGATATGCTTAAGCCAATGAGAAAACATTTTCTGTATGACAAACTTTCGGCACTAATTTCCAGGTTACCTTCTCAATGAGGAAAGCACTGATTCCATGCTGTGGCTTGTCTGTGGTGGGGTTGGTCTTGGCGTACACAACCAGCACGTCAGCATCGGGGCCATTGGTGATCCAGAATTTGTTACCATTCAGTACATAGTGGTCCCCTGAAATGTAGCTCAACAGGTCAAAAGTACCTAGTGATCCCCGGAAATGTAGCTCAACAGGTCAACAGTACATAGTGGTCTCCAAAAATGTAGCTCAACAGGTCAACAGAACATAGTGGTCCCCTGAAATGTAGCCATACAGGTCAACAGTACATAGTGGTCTCCGGAAATGTAGCTCAACAGGTCAACAGTACATAGTGGTCCCCGGAAATGTAGCTCAACAGGTCAACAGTACATAGTGGTCCCCTGAAATGTAGCCATACAGGTCAACAGTACATAGTGGTCTCCGGAAATGTAGCTCAACAGGTCAACAGTACATAGTGGTCCCCGGAAATGTAGCTCAACAGGTCAACAGTACATAGTGGTCCCCGAAATGTAGAGCAACAGGTCAAGTACATGTAAATGTAGCTCAACAGGTCAACAGTACATAGTGGTCCCCTGAAATGTAGCTCAACAGGTCAACAGTACATAGTGGTCCCCGGAAATGTAGCTCAACAGGTCAACAGTACATAGTGGTCTCCGGAAATGTAGCTCAACAGGTCAACAGTACATAGTGGTCCCCGGAAATGTAGCTCAACAGGTCAACAGTACATAGTGGTCCCCTGAAATGTAGCTCAACAGGTCAACAGTACATAGTGGTCCCCGGAAATGTAGCTCAACAGGTCAACAGTACATAGTGGTCTCCGGAAATGTAGCTCAACAGGTCCACAGTACATAGTGGTCTCCGGAAATGTAGCTCAACAGGTCAACAGTACATAGTGGTCCCCGGAAATGTAGCTCAACAGGTCAACAGTACATAGTGGTCCCTTGAAATGTAGCCATACAGGTCAACAGTACATAGTGGTCCCCTGAAATGTAGCTCAACAGGTCAACAGTACATAGTGGTCCCCAGAAATGTAGCTCAACAGGTCAACAGTACATAGTGGGCTCTGGAAATGTAGCTCAACAGGTTAACCATTGTTAACCGTATTTTTGTTGTGTTGTTGAAGCGTTTCAAAGTATGCATGGAATTCAAGGGGAGTTGGTTGCCATTGTACAATGTGATCTAAGAGCTGTAGTGATCACAACTCCCATACCTTAGCCATGTGAACATAGACTTGCAACAGTTGTAGCCCTGTGGTCACTTTGTACAACAGACGATTCAGTTAACATGGTTAATAATGTAATTTTTAGAGTAAAATTGATATTTTATACTTATCCTGACTCATGCTCTTTTGCTTGTCTTCTTCTTCTTGCGAACATAGTGGAACACTTGTATCTCCTTAATTGAAGCTCCCTTCAATGTCAAAATCACTAATTGGTACTCACCAAGAGTTGCCTCCCTTTGCCATTTGCGGGAACAGGTGTCGCCACCCTCTGGCCTCATGCTTCACTCTCTCCTGATTTTGCGAGCCCAACACTTGAATTTACAGGGAAATCCAAAGTGTTATGTGGGAGGATGGGAGGGGAGTTATTCATGAGTCAGGATAAGTATAAAATATCAATTTTACTCTAAAAATTACATATTTTTCCTTATCCTGACTCATGCTCTTTTGCTTGTAGAATCCTACGGAAACGGAGGTGGGAATAACAGAATACTTTGGATTTATAATTAGTGATTTGTATAGATATAACTGTAATAACCCCTTACGGGAACTTCATGAAGGCATAGACTTAGGATATTTCCTCTATTATAAGCCATAGGTTATATAATGCCATAACTGGGGTATTACATTAATAATATACTGAGATATTATACATAGATATAAATAGATATAAAAGCGACTCTGATAGAGACGCTGTACAACTGAACATAACATCAGTATAAGCTTAAGGCTGAATAACCTAAGCTAAGTATATACATAGCCCTAGAACTCCGTAGAGTTATAAGCTAGATAATGTATGTATACAATACATAATAATCTCGTGAGGGTAAAAATTAACGCCTACGAGGGACTGTCAGCTGCTGAGCGAGGACCAAGGGACCGAAATGGTGAATGCCAGAGACGTCCTCGGTGGTGATATCTCTCAGATAGTGATTAGCAAACACCATGTTAGATTTCCAAAAGCATCCTTCCATAATTGTGTTCAATGAGCAGTTACCGTAGGGCTGAGAGTGGAAGCCAATGCCCTGATCTCATGGGGATTTGATGCTGTTGGAGGGTCCAAGCCTGCTGCCTTGTAGGCACGAAGTATGACAGTCCTTATCCATATAGATATGGTGGTACGAGAGACTTCTGTCTGAGTTGTTGCCGATAAGGGGATGAATAATCGTTTGAGAAATCTTCGCCTTGTTTTGGAACGTCTTAAATAGATTTTGAGAGCTCTGACTGGGCACAGCGATAAGTCTAGTGTATCTTGAGATCCGAGAATCGAGGATAGTGCCGGACGGGAATAACCTGTCTGGTTGACCTGGTAGTTGATTTTGGCGATGAAATCCCATCTTAATCCCAGGTGCGCTGTGTTTTGATTGTCATCAAACTGTATCCTCTCATAATCTAGAGCGAATTTCGACATTCTGGCTGCCGTGGCTAGAGATAACAGAAAAAGTGTTTTCTGTGAGAGAAATTCAAAGGTTGTCGATTCCAACGGTTCATAAGCCTCACTTGTGAGGTGTTGTAGCACTACATTCAGATCCCAAGCTGGGGCGTGGAACTTCCGCTTTGGTCCTCCAATCGGAAAGCACGTAGTAAGGCCAGTAACTCTGGAGACTTAGTCAATTTGACACCCGTTCTCATAGTAAGCACAGAACTAAGCGCGGCAAGATATGTTGATAATGTCGAGCCTTTTAAATGTTTGTTTTGGCGAAGGTAACACAAATAGTCTGCCACTTGAGGATGTGTAGCATCTCTCGCTGTAAATCCCTTATTTGCTGCATAATTTTCAAACTGTGCCACTTGTCGCCGCATTGCCACGGTAGAGTACCGTAAGGCAAGCGGACCGCTTTTGCCGCTCTGGCAGAATATCCTCTCTTGTTTAAACACATTTTAATACAGTCCATACGTGAAGTTGGAATACTTCTGGGCTTCGTGCACCTGTTTGGTGTGTGGATGTATTAACAGATTTGAGCTTTGGGTAGCTCTAGTGCCGGTTGACCGATTTCTTGAATTAGAATGGGAAACCACGTTCTGGCCGGCCAGTAGGGCACGACCAAAGTGAGTTGTAGGCTCTGTGTTTGTCTGATTTTCTGTAACACTTGAGGCATTATTGCTGGCGGCGGAAACGCGTACGCATTGAGGCCTTCCCAGGATATGCTTAGAGCCGCCCGCTGCCCATGCTTGTGGGTCTGGGACTGGTGACACGAATGTCGGTAGCTGATTGTTGAATCGTGGTGGCTTAATAGATCTACTAGCGGCGCCCCTATTTGCTTGATTATCTGTGCAAAGATTTCTGTATTGAGCATCCATTCTGTCGGTGACGGTTGATGTGGCCGAGAGAGCGCCTGCTAGTACATTTCTGGCTCCGGGAATGTGACATGCTCTGACATGTAGATTTAGATCGTGGATTAGATCGAACAGTTGAAAGCTTAAGTTCAAAAGGTTCAGTGATCTCGCTTGAGCCTTGTCTGTTCACATAGAACGCCACTGTCGAAGTTGTCGGTATGAATCATTAGGTGCGATTTTGTAGAATGGTGCTCCAATGCAGTATGGCGCTGATTACAGCTTTCATCTCTAACATGTTTATATGGAGCTTGCTTTCTTGCTGATTCCATAACCCTGATGCCGTCCGGTTGGCGAGATGAGCTCCCCAACCTTGGAGCGACGCGTCTACATATAGATGGGTTTTGAATTCCTGCTCTGCTAAACAAATCCCTTCGCAGACATTCGATTTCTTTGTCCACCATAGTAGATGAGGTCTGAGATGTTTCGGTAGACTGAATGGTTGTAGGTCGTCGAGATGTGCATTGATGAAGACCTGTAAGGGACGTAACTGTAATCTGCCTCTGACTGTCATGTCTTGGGCTGATGTGAGGAGACCTAGTAGGCTCTGCCACTGTCGAAGTGGTAACGGAGAGAGTAGAGCTGGTGGAATGGTCTGTTGGATCTTGGTCCAACGGTCTTCTGGTACGACGATACGGTTGAGATTCGTGATAAATCGAATGCCTAGGAACTGCAGGTCTTGCGATGGTACTAGGTCCGACTTGAGTAAGTTTACTAACCATCCTAGCTGTGTTAGTAGCTTTATGATGTAGTTTAACTGTAGTTTGAGACGCTGTGGATCTTGATCTACTTGTATCCCGTCGTCGAGGTAAAATGCACTGCGTAGCCCTTGACGATGTAAATAGGTGATAATCGGTTTCGTTATCCTCGTGAATAGCCAGGGGGCTGATGATATTCCGAATGGGAGTACTTTCCACTGGTAATGTAGCCCGTCTAGTGTAAACCGTAGGTATTTCCTGGATTCGGGATGTATTGGGATGTGCAGATATGCATCCTGTAGATCTATACTGCCCATGTAGTCCATGGGGCTTAATCAACTGTCGTAACTGAGGTAGATGTATCATGCTAAACTTCGTGGTTTGCGAGATAATTCTTGTTGAAGAAGCTCATGTTGTAAATGAGTCTGTATTTCTCCTTGGAGTTTTTCTTGGGTACTAGGAAAACTGGGGAGTAGAAACCTGGTTCGATGTTTCCTTGATCTATTACTTCTATGGCCTGCTTGGTTAGGAGTGATGTAACAGCCTCTCTTAACTTTGGTAGTTGTTGTGCCTGTAAGTCGAACTTGTGAGGGTTGACTGTCAGCGGAGGCTTGGCCTGTAGTGGGATAAGAAACTGCGGTTGAAGAATGTTGGAGACATAAGGGTCTTGTAACATTCCCCAGTTTTCCCAGTGTAGTTGAAGGCGCCCACCCACTTGTGACGGTTGTACTGGAACGGCTGGGGTGGAAGACTCCAGTCGCTCCAACCTGTCTTTCAGCGCTTATAGTTGCGGAACCTCTGGGTGTCCTGCCTCTTCCTGACCCTCCTCTATAGTTGCCATATGGGCTTAATTTAAAAGAATCTTTTCCCCTGGAGCTGGCTATCTTCCTGTCCCGCGCTCTCTGTAGACCCGTGAATTTAGATCTCCCTGAGTATCTTTGTGAAGTCTGTCGGATGACGCTGGCTAGTGTGTCCATCGATTTAATCATAAGGACTTCTCTGGAATCCTTAGTGACTTCCTTGGAGACTTTGTCTATTCCTCCGCCAAAGATGGATGGGGAAGACCACGGGCTGTATATAGTGGAGCTGTAAAGTTCTCACCCCAGCTGCAGGAAGCGAGGAGGCCTTGACGACGAGCTAAGGTCAGTGCTGCTGAGACAGATGTGAGATGATCCGCTAGGAACTGCTGGTCCTTCTTTGCATAAGTAGGGCCGAAAGTAAATCATTCTATCATCTTCAGAGGTCGTGGTTACTTAAATCTGGTGATAAGTGTCTCATTGATCGCTCTAGATCTATTTAGACCAAAGAACATACGCCTCGGCATGGTTTCTATCTGAACCAGTTTGGCGATCGCCAATCTTGTAGTTCTTATTCTTGACATCGCTGATCAGCTTGTAGTTTTCATCGATGTCTTGAGCCTTGAAGAAGGGGTCCATGTTATGCGGGAGAACTTCTTGGCGGAAAGTTTGGCAGATGTGGTGTCTGAACTTTCGCGGGCTTTATGGAATGCTGTGTCTAGATTCTGTGGTACCGCAGCAATCGGGTCGATCGGAGGTAGTGTGACAGCATCTGCATCGCCTTCTTTCATCAGGTATGTCTGCGCGGATTGCCACTCTTGGAAGGTGATGAGAGATCTAGGTTGTTTACCATCCAATATCGTGATTCTGCATCTGAGAAAATAATTCCTCCATCATCTTCTATTCCAGCATCATTGATGAGAGGTTGGTGCTCTTCTGATGTTGGACTGTGTGGTTCTATCTCTATGTCGGGTGACGCTTTGGGAGACCTGGTTGTAGACTTGTGTGCAGACCTGTGTGGTGATCGACGCGGTGATGTACGCCGAGATCGGGCGCGGGTGAACGGCGAGGAGATCGCCTTGGTGATCTACGCCTATGGGTTGACCTTCTCGAGACCTGTGAGGAGAACGCTGATAGCTTCGCTGGCTCTTGTGTAGTCCCTCGATGTCTTTCTAGATGATGACGATCTGGGTTCAGGGCGCCCTTCGCTAATGCCTTCGCTGGCTTCCTCTGGCCCGGGTCCTGGGGAACGGTGATATGACCTTCGCTGGGCTTTCCGTGGAGGTCTGGTGGTCTGAGTCCGTGATCTGAGGATGAAGCCGAAGAAGGTGATGATCTATCCCGCCGCTCCTTCGGCTGTACATCTGGGTCCTTCGTCGAGGTGGTCTGTGACTTCCTTCGCTGGTGGCATCATCGCCGTGGCTGCTACGCTGACGGGGGTGCCTCTGGGGTGCTGTTCACGCTGGAGCCTTCGCTGGCTCGACCCTGGGTTGGCTGCTTCTCCAGTCTGTAGTGGCCTCCATCATGATCATGATTTGCCGCATTAGATCGCCTGGGATGGTCTGCGACGAAGTAGACGGTGCCCTCTCTGCGATGTTAACGGTGGGGCCCTCAGGGATTTCGCCTGACATCAGTGTAGAGGCATCAGGCTGCATGGTGATCTCTGCTGAAGTCACTGTAGCTGTCACCGGGTCAGCTTCTTGTATGCATGTCGGGATGATGATCGGCTGGTCATCGTGAGGCCCACTTCTGCGGCTGGAACGATCTCGCTGAGAAAGTTCTTGACGACTTCGTAGACTTCCCTTTGGAGGTTGACGCTGCCCTGGGGTACGGTCTGCGCTGAGAAGACGCTTGAGGCCCTCTTGGACTTTAGCTGCGATGACGGGATGTCTGGGGAGGCCGGTCGCTTCTTAGAGGTGACGGATCGCATCCCACGCCTCTTCCGATGGGGTCTCTAGCAGAACACCAGACGGGAGGGGGTCGATCGACAGCAGCTGACTGGATGGGAATTCGGCGTATCGCCATGTCTAACCCTTTGTTTGCGGACTCTATCTGCAGCACGCCTCAAGACGCAAAGATGGTATTTATTAAAAGCAGAATTAGTTAAATTAATGCAGTAACTGCAACGTGAATCAAACGCACAAGGCGAACAACTAGGGCATACTACATGGATCAGCAGCGGAAAAACGTAATCTACAAATAGTACAGATTTTCATCAACGTAATACTAGCTGAACAATCACTTAACTCACGGAATAAACAGTAGAAATAATGATTAATTATCAATACAAATTAATGAAGGATACTAGCTATACCTTTATAGTAAACTATAAGAGGTAACTAACTAAGAAAACCAAAGGATATAGTGTGTAAGGAGACACAGGCGCCTCACATCCTGCTCACTGGGCTTAAGAAGGAGAGAGTGAAGCATGAGGCCAGAGGGTGGCTACACCTGTTCCCGCGCTAAATGGCAAAGGGAGGCAGCTCTTGGTGAGTACCAATTAGTGATTTTACATTGAAGGGAGCTTCAATTAAGGAGATACAAGTGTTCCACTATGTTCGCAAGAAGAAGAAGACAAGCAAAAGAGCATGAGTCAGGATAAGGAAAAATACATATGTTCTCCGCTGATCAGCTGAAATAACATAATAATCATTACATCGCCCATGTTCTACATGTTCTACCACATTGGGCTCCAATATATTGTCAGTAATGATCAACATGATACACCGACGCGTGTGAGTCTCCAAGTACAACATGCACCATATATTATGTAGTATCCGCTGAACACTGCTTCAATATCAGACAATGGCAGTGCTTGCACACAGATTGTATCTAAAAGTTGGGCTTATTTCCCAAACATAGTGAGTGAGTGGGTGGGTGGTTGAGTTTGAGTGGGTGGGTGGTTGAGTGAGTGAGTGGTTGAGTGGGTGGTTGAGTGAGTGAGTGGGTGAGTGAGTGAGTTGGATTTTACACCGCTTTTAGGAATATTCGGGCAATATCACGGCAGGGGACACTAGAAATGGGCTTCACACATTGTACCCATGTGGGCAATCGAACCCGGGCCTTTGGCGTGACGAGCGAATGCTTTAACCACTAGGCTACACCACCGCCCCTCACAAACATAGACATGGTTATAATATGGTCTCTACATGTTGAAACGGTTAATTACATTTTATGAAAGTCTATGAAGCAAAAGTATGTATCGATTGCTTCCTATGTTGCAATACAAGTGCAACCATGACACTTTGGAATGATGTCATACATTTTCACATCCACTGAGCCTGGTACAAGCCACGGGAAGATATCAACAACAAGCGGACAATCTACCACTCAGGTTTTTGACAGTACTAAAACTGTTCAAAATACTATTTTTGCTTCATGGTTAGTTTAGTCTTTGTGTTCTCTGTGTCAAACTGCAATATTTCTCAAATTGATCAAAATGCATATTTTGTAGCTAGATTCTGAGTATGTTGTTGCTAGGGCTGTAGCATGAAAGTTTGTTGACAAACAAGCTGTCGATGAAATCACAAATTGTAAAATATCAGAAAAAAATATCAAATGCCAGAAGGGAAATATAAGTCGAGCTAAAACATGTGATGCTACAATACACAGTGTAACACACCTTTGAAGTATTGACACTGGCAATAGACATAAACTGAACTAAAGGATAATAAGCTTCACTATAGAAGACAGAATACACTGAGATTTACCTTGGGTAAATACTTTTTCTTCTGCTCCTCACTGCCATTGCGAACTATTTGATTGATGCAGAGGTTAGAGTGAGCTCCATAGCTGAGGGCAATGGAGGCCGATGCTCGAGACAGTTCCTCCATCACAAGACAGTGGTCCAGGTAGGACATTTCAGATCCTCCATACTCACCTGGCACAGAATCTGGTGTTATCACACGTTTCATGCTAATTAATGCAGAACATTATTTGACATGCTTTCAACTGCTCATTTCGTGCCTGGCTGATAAAATATTTCCAACTTACTTTTTTCACTAATAAAAGTTTTTGACTGAATATTTGTAAATGTTAAGGATATTCTGTTTGTCACAATGGCCCATTACTCCCTACTATTAAACTTGTGTTTGTAGTAACTGGTCATAATCAACCGTAACATACCGTAGCTGTGATAGTTCAACATGTTCAACAGGTCACTCATAGGTCTGCCTAACAAGTTAACATCCTTGACAATTCAGGGTATTAGATTTCCAATCCATTATGGTATATAATAAGCTGGACACATAAGAAGTGATTTACTCCCATTAGTTAGATATCCCAATTGTCAGACACCGGACTAGGGATTAATTATCGCAACACCCATATATAAATGGGAATGTCCCAATTGGATATTTCAAGCAGTTAGTTGAACCTAAGGAAAACTGTTATTGTGTAAAATCTCAGGAAATTCTGTAAATATTTCACACAAATTGTAAAATCTTCCGGCTAACTACTATTCCGACATAATATTATCATTTATTGTCATTTGCACCTAATATGCCAATGATATCGGCCTGAGTGTAATAAAATTCTGTTCTGTTATTTATTTTATGGGCCATTCCTATTTCATTAAGAGGTAACGGGCAGGGGATTGGCTCTGCACTCAACCAGATGGTTTGTTGTTTTAACCAGAGACCATATAATATTAACCTGTGTGACTATTGGGATGTCTGACAAATGGAAGGATACCGGACCCATCAGACACTACAGCTTGCTACACAAGTGACATCACCATCTCAAACTCTCTTACCACTAACTCTACAAAGAATTTCTCTCATTCACAAGTAGAGTATTTTGAAATAGCAAGTGTTATCATAATGTCATGCAAATCAGTTGTCAGTAAAGGTTCCAAGGTATTTATTGTAAGGCCTAAAAAAAAAAGCTTGTGGTTCCGATTTCCCGACCGACCCTAAATATTCCCGCTGAGCCTAACAATTTTACTCACCACATAATAAATTAAATTTATTTTCTGACACATGAGTAATGTAAAAATATTTTGCAAAACAACCCAAACCCCTACCTACCTACCCTAGTTCTGAAATGTAGGAAATCAGAACCACAACATTTATTTTTTTGGGCCTAATAGGATTGAGACATCATGGACAACTGAGGTTGACCTGTTAAGTATCTGAGTTAACGTTAATTCATAGATTGATTGTATGACCATATTAGGGAGGTGAGGTAACGTGAAATTGGGTTTAACGTCGTGCTTGAGAATATTTCGCTCATATGACGACGTGCATGTGTGTGTATGTGTATGTGCGGCTGCTTGTACTAGCCCAGACTTAAGCTGGTTTTATAGTGCTAGCCCACTGCGATACCACGCCGCAGTGAAGCATGAATACCCCTCTCAGACACATTATACTGACTCCGAGCCGACCAGTCCTTGTTGTACCCATTAATGCCGAGCACCAGGCAGGGACCAACAAGTACCATATTTTTTCACCTCTTTTGGTATGACGAGGTCGGGGGTCGAACCCACGACCTTCCGCTCTCTGGGCGGACGCTCTAACCACTACATCACGGAGGCGGTCGAGACATCATGGACAACTGAGGTTGACCTGTTAAGTATCTGAGTTAACGTTAATCCATACATTGATTGTATGACCATATTAGGGAACCATAACAACATAGTCCATCATAATGAACACAGTGTTAAGAAACTAAGATATGCTTTCAAACACCATCCATCTAAGATACAATGCCTCAATAACACTATGTTAACTCTCAGTCAATGCTGGTCATGATCAACATGATCAATCCTAAGACAGAGAAGTGAATGCTAGCAATATTCTTTATAACAGTGTCTTTTAAACATAGTAAATTATGAAATCTAGTTCAGGTAAATAAGCAACAGGAGCAGGAGCAAGTTTTCATATCATCACGGAACAGCCAGTTCACACAATGTAACTGGGCAATCCTTATTAACCAAATGTCATACTGCAGATATACTTGGCACCAAAACCCTTAGCTCAAACACATTCCCAAAATGAAAAGTAACCTTTGCAGTCAATCAGCAGTGCTAAGAGTACTTACTTGGAGCAGTGATTCCATGGAGACCAAGTTCTCCACATTTTTTCCAGAAATCCTGAAAAAAAATTTATGTCATGTGAAACGGAGAATACAATCAAATGACCAAACTTATCATCCATAAATCAACACTCAATGCTCTTGACGCAGACAAAACAACATACAACTGACATTGAGTGAGCGAGTTTAATTTTATGCCGCACTGAGCAATATTCCAGCCATATTGCCGCAGCCTGTAAATAATTGAGTCTGAACCAGACATTCCAGTGATCAACAGCATAAGCATTGATCTACGCAACTGGGATACGATGACATTTGTTATACCTGACAGTGACCTTAATCTTACCACTATAGCACAACCTTTACACTACCAACTTATACAATTCATATTTTTTTCTATACCTCTTATAACATTTCAGGAAAATTATTGCACAAAGTCACATTTGTCAATAACTATTAAAAATATTCTAGTTCAAACCTCCAAACTTACCCTCATATCTTTGAAATCATTGGTCTTATCAATTTCTCCTGCCTTTGGGGCAAGTTCTTTCTGTGCAAACTGGAAAACACTCTGTCGTAGCTGGAAAACAATTAGTGCATATGAGTGGTGGTCCGATTAATTGAAATGTCGAAGATTGCACATACGTTACAAGGAAGTTTGATAATGGCAAACAATGTTTACTGAAGGTTGCAACGATCAAGCAGAAATATCAATTGTAAGGCAGTCTATAGATATGAACAGTGGGAGGGTGGTTTGTTTATGTATGTGGGTGTAAGTGTAACTGTGATAGGTCTACATAAGAAATGTAAATGTATGCTCCTTCTCATGGTTTGACCTCAATCTGTAAGACATTCATATTCATTATAGGTGCCTCTTTGCAACATGGGTTATCATTACAATGACAAAACTTTGCCAATGTGTAACATGTATCATGAATGACCTGGTTCAAGTACATCTTGTCTTATTTCCACACAATGTTAAGCTTAGTTTATTTAGTTCACCACAGTATCTGAAATCAGCTGAGAGGTTTGTTTGCATGTTGTTTAATGTTGCACTCATGAATTAACTAGCTATATCAAAATATTCAAGTCTGGACTAGACGATCCAGTGATTGACATCATCATGATCATGGGTTGGGACCTACCAAAGTGGGATACTATCACATGCATCAACCAAGTCTGTGAACCTGACTGCATGATTCCATTAGTTGTCTCTCACAACAAGCATCTGAAGACCAGTTCTAATACTAAACAGCCTATTTTTACTGACACAAGGGAGACAACTGATGACAGATGCAAGTTGGTAAATATAACCTGACAGTATTCATAGTCACCTAGTGTAAAATACTAAAATCTACATGTACTGACTGCGCATAATCATGGCAATTAATATTCATGATAATTAAAGTAAACTGTGTACAGTGGTGGAGAGGTGGAGAGGTGTGTAGGTTGTGTGTCCAGACGAACCAATCAAACCGCACGAACACCACAGGTCAACATGGTCAAGGTCTTTTGATGCATAGTATACATATACCCGTTCTTCACTATTAGCAATAACTTTTAAATACACATACTATAGTACAGGGATTATGGATAATTTCCAAAAACATTGTAACTTATAGAATTATTGGCAGTATAGCTCTAATAATGGATATTAATAATGTTCACAACATGCAATCTTTTTAAACAAATTCTGAAAGCGATACCTGTCGCTGCTCTTCAGCCAAATTGTACAAACTATCATCGATGGGAAAGTAGGAGCAGCTACGAGTTGCACGGACACTGACTCTGCCATTTGACAGCAGACGACGACAGAGACTTGGTCGAAACACTCTGCTCATACTGTGGGTGGCCATGTTGTTTCTGTGAAGGGACGTAACTCCTCCTCCTCCTCAGCAGGTGCGCTTCAAATCCGGTTCAGAGAAAAGAGTGCGTCGCTACTGATTTTATCCGCATCAGTAGTACTCCGGCTATTGACGGCTATTAGAGAGTGAGTGTGAGTGAGTTTAGTTTTACGCCGCTTTATATTATACCAGCAATATCACGACAGGGAACACTGGTGGAAATGGGCTTCACACATTGTACTCACGCGGGGAATCGAACCCGGGTCATCGGCGTGAGGGCGAACGCATTAACCACTAGGCTACCCCACCACCCCGGCTATTAAGGATAGGGGGGTACATATAGGTATTTACAAAGTTCATTTCTTGCACAATCTAACGAAGAAAGAACTAGTCTCTGGATAGTCGGCAGTCACAGCAAGAAACTTGAAAAAAAACTATGTATGCTTGACGTTGACTAAAAAAAACAGAATATTCATGAACTGGGGTCGTTCTTAGTTCTACTTTACGAAAGGCTATTTATTATTTAAATGTACTCGAACACCTTCAGCTTGATGCTGCTAGGATTGTTACAACAAAGGAGCACTTATAATATAATTACAAAACGTGTTGGCTACGCTACCATTAAAACAAACAAAAATTTGAATATCAACCGTACAAAAGACATAATAGAGAACGAATGTTCTTTACACCTTACTGATCTGTTATTTCAAAATATATCAGGTGTTTGAAATCATATAAGAATATCATTGTATATATTCTGCACTGCACATATTATGGTGGCATTCGGGCCATCGCTTTATCGCCCTGAAGAAATCTAGGCGATATCGCGACAAAGCGATAGTACGACACGATATTGCGATATGGCGACACGATATAGCGATATTGCGATATAGCCAAAGACGAAATAGCGATAACATGACACGACATGACGATAACAAGACACGATATAGCGATAACAAGACACGAAATGGCAACAACTCGACACGACATTGCGATAACACGACACGAAATGGCGATAACACGACATGAAATGGCGATAACACGACACGAAATGGCGATAACACGACACGAAATGGCGATAAAAAGAGGCGACATTGCGATAACGCGAAAAGGCGATATGGCGATATGACGATACAGCGATATGGCGATATGTAGAAAAGCGGGTAAGTTGATTCATTCTCGGGATTCAATAATAAGATAGCGGGAAGTATGTGAGATAAAGATGCACTTGATGCCTGGCATAGATATATAAAGGGGATATGTAGTGAATCATATCAACATAAATGACATTGTTATGCAACCTCTCTGGTTAAATCACCAGTTTGTAACACATATTTGATAATCAATAACTGGTTCAAACAAGGAATTGTTAATATTAAAGACATTTTCAATGACCAAGAGGTACTCTCATTTGCAGAACTTAAAACAAAATTTGATATTAAGGGCACAGTACTTGACGATAAAATCGTGTCATCGTCAGTATTCCCCAAAATGGAAAGAAGTCATTCAAACTGCTGGACACCCAAACATAACAAAGGTATCGATAAGTTCCCATGGAATGATCTTATCATACCGACTAAAGGATATAGATTAGTTTACGAGTCTCATATCGAAATCAATTTTCCAAAGGTATGCGATAAATGGGAAAGTGAAATAAACGATCATATCGATTGGAAGACCATATTTGTGCAATATAGACTAACCATTAAAGACCCAAAGCTTTTTGGATTTTCAATACAAATTTATTAATAGACTTATTTATACATTAAAATGAAACTAGTTGATAATGACATATGAATATCGTGTGACGTAAGTGAGAATATTTATCATGTATATATTGAAAGTCCCATCATTAGATTATTCTGGAAAGAATTCACCGGTTTTGTTAATTGTGTCTTGTACAGAACATTCGTACTCTCAGCTCAAGATATACTATTTTTGTGCGAATAGCGACCCCTTGCTCAACCATATGATCATACTAGCCAAGCGCCACATTTTTTGTCAGGAATATCAAGGGTGTGAAACCAAGTTTGACCACATATAAAGGGTTATTAAAAGATGTGTATGACATTGAGAAATATATTGCCAGAAACAATTTCAATATGAATTTATTTGAGAGAAAATGGATTAAGCTCCAAAATGTTCTGTGATTATGACAATGAAATAGTTCTACTCAAGTGTATCTGCGTTTGTTCCAGTTTTACATATTTATTTCCCAGTGAAATTGAAACAAAGTGACATGCCATTTCTCATTATATATCATTACAAAACTATGTCCACGGATTGTTTCATACAAAGTGTATCCAAGTGAAGTGAATAAAAAAATGTGAAAAAATAGTATGTGAAATAAACGCATCGTAAAACCGCCCATTCTACTGAAATAGCTCAACCAAAAGCACAATGAGAGATGACATATTCCAAACTGTGATACTTGTTCATGTCAAGATCCTGAGAATTCTGTAAGCTATAAGAGTTCATTAGAATAGATTTGGGTTCTTACGGTGCCTGATCGATCTGCCTAATCTTATGGGAAATCGATCTCTGAAGTGTCTACTTTTAAGAATGGTGGTTGCTTATCAAGAAAGGAAACTATCATTATAAACGAAAAGTTCTAAAATACTTTTCTTCTTCTATCTATAAATAAGTAAACAATACATTGCACACCAAAATAATTTCAGTAGATACAGTGGAAGCTGTATAATCCGACACTGACTGGGACCGGGGGAACATGTCGAATTATACAGCGTATCGGATAATTCACTGTCTCGTTGCTTGAATACTTTTCAAACAGTACCATACATTGTAACTGGCTTCATGAAATTAATGTTTGATAGCTATTTACTCGGTGAATAAAGGGAAAAAACAAAATCAGTATTTACATACACATGTATCATTGGTATTTATTCTCTTCAGTACAATGTACATACCATGCGGACTACCCAATCACAATCATATTCACACTTTCATGAAAAAATCCTCCATTGTAGCCATTGACAGGTTGATTGGCTATTTTAGTCTAATATTGGGAGAGGATGTCGGATTGTACAGCGTGATAGTGTCTTTGTTACCAGAATGTGGTGTCGGAATTCTGAAAGTACAGATGTCAGATAATTCAATATTAATATGATGATAATATAGAAGAACGCTGCCGGGGCCCAAAAATATATGTCGGAATACACAGATTGTCGGATAATTCAGAGTCCACTGTATAGTAAATCAATCTCAGAGTTTTTGACTATTATTGTTGGCAATTTGGCGGGATGTAGGTTTTAGGGGGATATAGATATGTTCGTGTATTCCTGAGTTAAGTCACCCGTGAAGGTCCAGGATAGAGTTGATCTTCAGTAACCCAATCTTGTCTTAAGAGGCGACTAACGGGATCGGGTGGTCAGGCTCGCTGGCTTGGGCGACACATGTCATCGGTTCCCATTTGCGCAGATCGATGCTCATGCTGTTGATCACTGGATTGTCGGGTCCAGACTCGATTATTTACAGACCGCCACCGTATAGCTGGAATAGTGCTGAGTGCGCCGTAAAACAAAACTCACTAAGTTAAGTAAAAGTAGTATATCTAAATCTTTACAGTGCAGTTAAAAGCAAAGCCATGTGTAGGCCAGCAGCAAATGGCCGGTTGGCCACGGAAGCTTAATATAATGGATGAGGTACTGTGTACTGTAGGCTGACCATACATGTACTGTACATACGATACAATTGCTGTACTATCATGTAATTGCATATTTGACGCCGAATAAAGTGTTGTGGACCCGCTTAGGAACTTCTGTGTTTGAGGAGACAGATAGCCCAACTAAACAGCCCGGGATACAATGTTACACATGATTGGATTAAAGTATTTGATTTCAAAAGTAGGTTCAATTCATATAGTTTTATCAGATTTGTTGAGGCAAGAGCATTAGGATTATACTGGAAAGATACATGTACTGTCATCTTTTATATCATTTCAGACTGCACACACTGCAATTTTGAAATATATACCCCAATGTAGTAGGCGCGTTCGCAGCACATGAACCTGCGACCCACTGCATTTTATAGATTGGGTGAAGCACGTGCTTTACATGTGCATTCTAGTATGATCGACTGTTTGAGCTAAAAGTTTTAAAATTGCCCTTAGTTTCCAGGTTGTGCTTAATTAACGGTTATGTGTATATGTATTTACAACACGTATACTCGCTACAGATGTCTAAAGCGTTTAACATGGGCCTTAAAGACATGTACATCTCAAAACGGCATGACAGTTTACCCAATTCTAGAAAAGCTGAATAGTACACTTTATTTTAAAAAAGCAGAACCTTATCTTTTACAAAGTAAGAGTAACACTTTCTCGATTTGGCTGTAGCTCATACGATGGTTTTAAAGATAAGACAATGATAAATTTGTACAATAACGAACTTTTACTTCGTGTTGTATGTATTAAGATTGAATATAATCAGCCAAATGACATGCTAGTAATGACAATTTAAAGAAAACCGGTAAATAAGTCAAACATTTTTACATTTAGTGTAATTTTCAACACTTTTGGATGGAACAGTGATTCCATTCGCCGACGTTGTTCCACTGTGCTTTATTTAGTGGTGATATGACACCGAAGTTGCTATAAGAGATCTAGTCTTAAATAATAATAACCACTCCACCTTTTAGTGCTTCGTCGATCATGTGTGTTTCTTTCTGTTTGTATTATTCGGCTGTTGCTGCATTTTGATGATTCAGACGATGAGTTACACAATAGCACCATATTTATGATGGGCATGCATAGAAGATTACTATTGCATAAAATCCATTTGCATACACCGAATATTATCATTACGTGAAATCCCTAAAACGTTTTGCTTTCTCACTTAAACTAATACGAGACTAATTCAAATACAACATGGACGCATCACACAGATACACATACGTACATACCACATACACACAAACTCATATAAAGATGAATATATCGCTTTATCGCCATATCGCTGTTTCGCCATGTCGCTTAACCATTTCGCATTATCGCAATTTCG